CAGTATCAGATGGTATGCATGCAGCGATCTCACCTTCGCAGCCTGACCAGTCTGCGACTCTTCTACCGAATGAGCATAAGGTAACCGGCGACAGCGCCCCCAAACTTCGTCCCAGCAAGGATCTAGCCATCGACGTCTCTGCTGCCACGGCAGCTAAGCAACCTGCTCGGACTCGGCCGCAAGGCTCTCGAGCTGTATCTACACCCAGCTCGCGACGGCAAACCATGCCAACGACCAGTGAACGACTGACGCAGACTTGGACATCACGGGGGAAGCAAGAGCGCGCCTCTCTCAGTCGAGAGTCTGATGGAAAACATCTTACCCCGTCGCCACACATCACTGGCCCTGAGCCTGCTCTACCGTCCCCTATGCCTCCAACCATTCCTCTCCCTCCGTTGTCCGTTCCGACATACCTACAATTAGAATTGGCCTCCGGTCGACCGTCTCCGCTATACATTCACCGCTCCGCAATGAGCGACTTTCCATATGAATCGTCTCGGGTCAAACTTGAACGTCTGATGAACTTTTTGATGCTGCCTCCCGCATTGGAACGAGTCCTCTGGTTTGGTATATTAGCGTGTCTCGATTCATGGTTGCATACATTTACCATTCTTCCTCTTCGTTTTATCAAAGCATTGTATATTCTTCTGGAGTCATGGGCTGTCAATCTTGGCGTTGAGTTTCGTTATGTGACAGGTTTCATTTTCAAAGGTGTTGGGCGAGTGTGGCGGAGACGACACCGAGCATCGTCGACGGACGAGTCTTCGAAGGTTGCTGACCCTGGAAAGTCCACCTCTGAGAAGCAGGACAACGGATCAGTGGAACGAGAGTCTCGCATTCGGGCCACAGAACCGCGCAAGCGGCACCATAAGCACCGGCGGCAGAAGAGCATCCCGTCAGCTTTGATGCCAGATGACAAGGCTGACATCCTTAAAGGGCTGCTCATCATATCTACCTGCTGCGTGTTGATGCGCTTTGATGCAAGTCGAATGTATCACTGGATCCGAGGACAGGCTGCGATCAAACTCTATGTGATCTATAATGTGCTAGAGGTCAGCGATCGGTTATTCGCTGCCATTGGACAAGACGTGCTTGAGTGTCTGTTTTCGCGGGAAGCTCTCGAGCGTCGCCCGGACGGGCGCAGCAAGGTCTTCCGACCATTTGGATTGTTTTTGCTGGCATTAGCATACACAGTCATCCACGCAACGGCCCTCTTTTATCAAGTGATGACATTGAATGTTGCGGTGAATTCGTATTCGAACGCGCTCATTACCCTGCTGCTCTCAAACCAGTTTGTGGAGATCAAATCCACGGTGTTCAAGAAATTCGAGAAAGAGAATCTCTTCCAGCTTCTCTGCGCTGACGTGGTTGAGCGGTTCCAGCTCTGGTTGATGCTTACCATCATCGCGTCGCGAAACCTTGTTGAGACCGGAGCGTTCAATGCCCTTGGTAGCTTGAGCTTCAGTCTTGGAGGATACACATCCACGGGGACCAACAGCACGCCCCTCTCGACTCCTCCCCGGACCTCCTCGTCTATCCTGCCACAGGCCTTTACAATTGTGCCATCATCAATAATTGCGTCCTTCAGTCAGGTGAACACGTATTTGCCGACTCTCGCACAGGTTCTAGGGCCGTTCTTGGTCGTTTTAGGGTCGGAAATGCTAGTGGATTGGCTAAAGCATGCCTACATTGGCAAATTCAACAATACGCGGCCAGCCATCTACGGGCGGTTTCTGGATATTCTGGCGAAGGACTACTACACTAACGCCTTTGCAGACCAGAACCTGACCCGTCGCTTAGGTTTGCCGGTGATCCCACTGTCTTGCCTCTTCTTCCGAGTCTCCGTCCAAACATATCAGATGTTCATTACTGCCTTGCTTCCTCAACAGCCCTCCTCCACGGCAGTAGAGGCCACCACCCTTTCAGCCATCCACAGCCAGTACGTGCCGGCTCCAATGCCTTCACCTCCTCCACTGACGCTGCGAAACTTCATCCCGACGTCAACCGCGTACGTGGGTGCCTTCTTCCGCCAGCTTCTAGCCAACACCATGCCATCGCCCGCCCAATCCGTATACATCTTCACCATAGTCCTCATCTTAACAGGCTTCGTGGTCCTCCTGATCCTGAAGCTTCTCCTGGGTATGGTCCTGCTAGCGTACGCTCGATCTCGATACAAGGCGATGAAGCTGCGCGAAACGTCAACTCAAGCCAATGCCCCATCGGCAGCACCTGCTGATGAACCCAACGGGACAGCACCCCGTGGACGAGCATTTGCAGTTGAAGGCGGCCGACGATTCGGCGGATGGGGCGTCGTCGAGGTCAACGATGATCATCGACGATGGATCTATGCGGATGACCCTGAGGGGCTGCGTCGGCTGAAAGCCAAAGAAGAGAAAGACAAGAATACCAAGGAGGACCTGAACATGGATCATGTCCAACGATACGAGATGGTGGCCAAGAGGATCTGGTAAATTGTATAAAACGACATTTGTAATTAGCCTTATGTACATCCTAGGAGTAATAATTATTCATTACACTCTCCTTCAATGAATAAGTTCTTACCTCTGTGTATAGTTCACGGGCCACTAGTCATCCGCTATAGTCTAGCCAGGTAAACTATCCCTGTTCGGACCATCGGTCACGTTTTAGTTCTTATCTGCCTGTCTAAGTTCCATCGTCCCCTCCTCTACTCTTCTGTGCTTTTGCCCTGCGTAACAAAATCCTTTCCTCGTCCAAAAAGCAATTCCTGTTCTCCATCATGATTTTTGCTTCTGGGTTTCTCTATGTCAGCTGGAACGGTCACAAGCCATCACGAGCTCCTATCTATTGGCAGTACCCTTCACATCATTCGTCAGTTACCGAAAGTCGACAGCCTAGCAAAAGAAAACAAAACAGAGAGAAAGGTTCATATGTGCATTCTATATGCCTGTTGATATGTATGTACAGTTATTCATAAAAGTTATATGATAATCGCTAATTGTAACGTTGATGAGAACGCCAGGGCTAAAAGTGTTAATCAATCCCAATCATGTTGAAGAAGGAACGTGTTTGAATGTGCATACGACATATTGCAGATCGCAAATCACAGGTGGTGCCGCAGTTCGGACACGTGGTTGCCATGGAGCTCTGAGATTTGTTAGCATATCTTGCCAGGGGTAAGTAGGAGGTTGATGACGATGGCAACTTACCCTTCCATGCATCCAGAGCTGCCTTCTCGGCATCCCAGCCCCAGAGGAACTTCTGGGTTTCCAGATCTGTCCACCGGTCGGGGTTCGATCCGCTCTTCAGGGAGGAGCGGAACTGCTCATCACGGGCGCGTTGCTCCGGGCCATCGGGCAGGTGGAGCGTGATGCGGTTTTCCGACCCGGATTGCTGGACAGTGTCTGCGCGGGGTTTCCGGGATTGCTCATACGCCTTGAGCGCAAGATGGATCTCATCACGGGAAGAGATGGTGGAGAGCAGGACACCAAGGGCAGCAGCGTCTTCGACGGCCTGGGCGGCACCTTGAGCGACATATGGCCTTCGGGATGTTAGTGCAAGACAGGTCATCATAACATAAGGGGTGCTTACAGCATTGGGTGGCAGGCATCACCGATGAGAGCCACGGAACCCCTGATCCAGGTCTTTAGCGGGGCGTGTAGACACAACTTCCACTCCAGGACTTCGTCGTCCGGCACCAGGTCGATAAGCTTTGTCACGCGCCGGTCCCAGCCCTTGTAGTTGTCGATCATGGCCTGCTTGGAACCCTTGGTAGTCCACGATTCCTCGACTGAATGGCTGTCTGGATGAAGCAGGACAACATTGTACAGATCATGGTTTCGCACTGGATAAGCGATGACATGACGGCCAGGTCCGAGCCACCGAGTGGCTTGTGGCTCATCAACCAGTGCCTTCAGCTCAGGATCGTTCTCGAGAGCACTACGGGGCAGCATGATCCGGTAGGCTGCATCACCCGTGGGGACGGCGACAGATGCTTCTTCCAGCAAGTGATCGCGGAGGGCAGACTTGATGCCGTCAGCCGCAATCACGATGTCTCCTTTAACGATGGTGCCGTTGGCCAATTGCACCGCGGCATGGTCGAACTGGACTCCAGTGACCGTTGAGTTCACACGCAGCTCCACATTTGACAGCGCCAGCGCCTGTTCAATGAGGGCATTGTGGAGGTCTGCGCGGTGAATGACAGTCTGTTGGCCGTAGGTCTTGTTCACAGGCAAGGTGCCGAGCATGCTACCATCCTCCCAACGTCTCACATGGATGTGCTCGAGGGCAACATCTTGGGCGTGGATCAACGGAGAGACGCCCCACCCTGAGTCATATCATCAGATGGGTTTAAGTAACAGGAGACGTAAGGGGCGCTTACGGTCAAACAGCGTCAGCATGTTAGGTGAGACTTGAATACCAGCACCAACTTCCATGAGCTAAGAAAGGTCAGTCAGCAAGACGTATCAGAATAGAGTGGTATACGCACCTTGGGAGCGGACTCGAGAATGGTAACATGATGTCCTCGCATACCCAGGGTCAGGGCCGCAGCCATGCCGCCAATGCCTGAGTTCATTAGTTACATGCTTCTTTCGCTTTCAGGTCTATGAGACAGAAGTCCTACCGGCACTATACGGTAATGTCAGCAACAATACATAGTGACTCAGGCGAGACGAGGGTTCGAACTTACCCAACCACGATCACCTGCAGAGGAGTCTTTGCTTGTTCCATATTCGCGAATAAATCCAAGGGGTTTGACGGAGGGTTTGAATTACAATGACACAGAACAAAGATGATAAAGGAAGCGGAAAAGAGGGCCGGGGCTAAATAATAAAGAGTTTAAAATTTGGGGAAAAATTCGGAGGTCCTAGGCTAAGGGCAAATCTGGGCCGTACAATATCCGTGGATGAATGAGGGTTCGCCACTCAGGTACGGGAGTTCAATGAAAACACTGATAGATTGATGAAACTGACAACAGCAACAGTAACAACAGAGAATGTCAAGATGGGCAAGCACGCTCCTGATAAAGAATTCCAGAGCCAGGCTCAAACTTCGGTTGTCCTTCCTCCAGCCGGAAATGACGGCAGGACGCGAACCCCCCAGATCGCTTCTCCACCGAAGGAAGCAAGACCAGACCAGCCCTCCACAACCCCGGTGAGTATAGGTCAGACCAGAAGTGCATCATTGGACCATTATTGGGTCCTGAATGGCGAAAGGAGGAGAAGCAAGCCAACCGTCCGCGAGGGTCATGTCGACCCCGGAAGTGGTGGGCGCGAGGCTCCACCTGATACTAAGGATGCATGATGTCAAATTAGTCCGCTGCATTGTGTACAGGAGGTTAGTAAGACCACAGATCTTAGTGTTTGACTCGGAATGGTGTGCGAGTCTGGAGCTGCAAGGCAGGCCAGCGAAGGCGCTGAGGCAGCAAAACGGGCGAATGGCCGAACGGTTTTTCCTGGGGAGCCAATCACGGGACGTGATTTGGGAGTGCAAAGAATGCAAAGTCGGCTGTTCGTCCGCCTTCATTTGCCGGTCTCCAACATTGTTTGTTCACGCCGCCTTTTCTCCACTGTTTCCGTCTTCGCTTCTCTCGCCCTCCTCGCGCGGCAAACGCCTGCCCGTCTCATTGCCGAATGCCCTTCCATAATGCCTTTGTTCCAGACCACAATTTGATACTCCAACTATCTACACGGTGGGTTGATTAGCAGGATCATCATCATCTCTCCTCCCCCATCCCCCTCCCAACAATCTCTCTCTGACTCTTGCTGTGCTGTTCTTTGCCGGTCTTACGACATGATTGCCGAGCTGAAATGCAACGCTCAGCCGATGCTGAAACTACTGCTAGGTGATGAGCTGCCTAGTGCATACCATACGCAACCCACGCATGACCAGCACCTTCTAGCTTCGCACTATTGTTCTCGAAGCCTACTACATGAGGCAGTGTGATGAGATTGCCTACAACGGATACGAGGATTGTGTAACCTGGGAATCTGTGTTCTGTGTATGTTGCAGATGCTTTCAACGCCCGAAAGACGTGACCGATATCGGACGATTGACCGCAAACATTATGTTGCGATCTGACTCGACAATTGATAACGTGGTTCTAGGGGGAGTAAACAGGGTCGACTCCCTTCTCAATCCTTTGATATCATGTAGATAACGACTTGCTTACCATAGACGACATTGCAGTACCTGCATCCAGAACTAGGTCTATCCCTGCCGTCCAGCGCCAGCGCATCGGTCGGCAAGCTGCGGAAACAACAACAGCCGCGTAAACGTGCTTGACTGTTCCGCCCAAAGTCTATAGTATAGTCACCGACCCGCCAATCATACTATTGTTGATGCCTCTTCCAGAATGATCTCCTGCACATTGCTTTGTTCATGAACTCGGCATGACCTGGTAGACTACCAACCGCCAACTGAAGGGCGATCATCTTTGAAGAGAAGTAAATCAGTCCTTGCATGAGCCAATGGGAACCTCACTTGCTGCATAGCCCATACTATCATATAGACTCACCAACCCCCCTTCCCAAAAATCCTTACACACTCACGGGGATATACACTGAAGTCCCTATCCAGGGAGCAGGTAAGGTGAAATTGTTATTGCTGAGAGTCTATAACTCAATGGCAATAAGATCCTTTCTCACCTTCAGAGACAATACAATGCCCTTGACTGCAGAACCCCTACGTCGCAGGAGATGGTCCTCCTCCCGGATCCTCCTGGCATGAAAGTTGGTGCAGAACTATTGACGTTCATAGTTCGTCTCCCAGAGAGTAACATAGACTCCCGAATCAACGATATACTCAATTTTCAGAAAAACATAGTATTGTGACATAATCTTCCTATTCGGCTTTTGCCTACAATGGTAATTGACGCAGTCCACCCATCCTCTCCAAGACCAGATGCGGAAATCACCGGGGCCTATAATGCAATACATCAAAGCAGGAATACCCAGGATCATACTACTGCTTGAAGAAGACAGATGGCCACTGCCAGCCTATAGAGAGTAAGCTTACGAAAGTATTACTATACCAAGCACTACTACCAGTAGCACCACACCCCCAACTCCATAACCAGGGCACCATTGTACCCAGTACCCACAAACCACAAATACTATGTTAGCGAGTATAGATAAGAAATGCTGTATATCCATCCCTTCCTAATACACACACACGACTTGCCAAAAGCCACTGACTGTACAATCATAACATATGACTATACCGGCAACAACAGCAGCCGAACTACATACATACTATGTGGTAGCCCCACTGCCCACTAGTTTTGCTGTCACTAGACTACGTTTACTAGTGTATCTTAGTTCCATAAAACCATGAACTTACCTCCAGATGGGACCAACTTTAGATCCAAAATTGAGGTCGGTCCTCACACCTACATTTCGTTAGATTTTGGTGGGCTGGGATGGTGCAGTACGTAGTAATCATCCTGACTGGACACTGACAAAGTAGTTTAATGGTAGAAGAAAGACTTCCAGTCCTGTCCATGATATAATATAATAAAGTACCGTATATGAATCATCCTACAGTTACTATAATTGACTAAAACGCACGAGAGAAAGCGACAATTGCAGTGAATTTATATTTAATAGTATTTTAAATAATATCAAGAGAAGTTTCCACAAGATATACATCTTGGATGTGTCTCTTATCTACTGCTGTTTTCCATATTGAAGTAAAAATCATAGTTCTGATTGATTTTCAATGCTTTCTTCTCCAAATTACAACTCTTTAAATACACAGAGTGGCGAAGGAGACAGCAATATTTTTTTTTTTTTTTTTTTTTTTTTTTTTGGTTTTTTTATTTTCCTAGTAGTTTATTTATTCAAAACACCGTTTATATTGTGATTAGTAGAAGTCTGTATAACCACTTTCAACACTATCGTTGGCTCAACCGGACTATAATAAAATTAAGTAACCACTATCTACCTTTTAACCATTACACTTCCTTTCCCGTTTGTAGTAAGTACATATGAGAAAATTGCTACAACTGGTAGCCTATAAATGTATATATATTCCTACATAGTAGCAATGATCTTTGCAGTTTCATACCGGTTCCCATACACTACTACACCGAAGCCAGATGATCGGTTGTACCATCCCTAACGGGGAAGTGATTAATTGAGGATGGAAGGTATCCATGACTCGTAATGACAGAATGGAACAACATCCTCACCCGTTGCGTGTAAGATACTTGACGTGTATGGTGCGTAGAGTGAATAGTGGTAGTAGTATGAGTGGATGAAAAACATATGGCTCTGCTACTATAACACTCGGAGTAAAAGTTGTTACTGGCAAACCCGTCAAAAAGTTATGTATAAGATATTGAGAAGGAGACTCAGTTATACTATAAATATTCATTTTCAGTATCAACTTTTCACTGTCCTAAATGTCCCATGGTAGATTGTCACAACTCAAATATATGCAGTTTGGGAACAAAATAAACATCAGAAGCCTTCTACATGCATAAGGAGTGGTATCAAACGCCAAATGTGCAACAGTATCATGTCAAATGATAGTGAGAAGAAAGACACAATTCACCACCGATCGTAGGTCAAAGAATGAAGAAGTTTCGCTAATTCTAATCGCCAAGCAAATGTCCATCCTGTCGTAGGTAATCCGGAATCGGAATATACAATATTATATACATGTCGTAAAGTGTCGATCTGTCGCTAAGAGAATATAGACGTGTAGGAAATCAAGCAGTGAACATCAAACGCAAACGGCTGGATCGCTTCTTCTTCTCCTTTGGCTTCGGCTCCATGTCTGAGTAACGGGACTCGGCTCTAGAAGGTGCGTATGAGGGCGCCCTTGACGGGGCCTTCGATGGCGCCTTAGAGAAAACCTTGGAAGGCGCCCTCGAGCTGACATGCGACTCTGGTCGGTGGTTGGCTCGGGAGCCTTCTCGATGGCTGCGTGATCGACGAGATCTGCGAGAGGATGCCATCGACTGATCATCATCGTCGAACTTGAATCGGGGGTCCCGTGACATTCGTGCCGTAGTCACATCAATGCCTGACATTGCGGCTGCTTTGGGTGTAATGAACTCTCCATCGACAGATGTGCCAACACTGTCGGCCTCGGCATCTGCTACGCCGCGCCGCCACATCTCGACAGTGCTTAGGCATTCTGTGTTGAACTCCATCATGTCATCCATGCCGGGATCTTCCTCTGGAGCGGCCGCTGCCCTCATGGGGCTGTTGGGGGTAGTGGTGGTGGCGTTTTGGATCTGCTTGACGATCTTGTAGCCGCCAAACATGACGATTGTGACTCCGATACCAACACCCGCTGCGATCAAGAATTGTGGGCTTGCAAGCAGGGCGAAGACCGTAGGGGCCGCAGCCTTGAGGGTCGAGAGCGCGGACGGCGCCATCTTTGTGGCAATGTTGCTGATCTCGGCCAAGGTGAGCGCTACAGCAGCCATGGCATCTGGGTTCTTCTGGAGATGTGCGATGGTGGCGGTCGCGGTATGTTGCATGCAGTCAGCTTCCTCTAAGAGCCACTGCGCCCGATCCACAAGCGTATTCAGTTCCGGGTTCTCAATTCTCTGGAGCTGGTTTTGTGGCTCTGGGGGTGGTGGCACTTTCTCCAGGGCCGAAGGGTGAAAGTCGCCGTATGCTAGATCCATGTCGACATGAGCATCGGACTTGGACCGGCTGGTTGTTGGTCGCTCTGGTCCACGCATGGCGACATCATGGGTAGTATGACGGCGGACCATTTCGCCTGGTCGAACAGCATATGGGTCTGCATAAGGATCCTGCCATTGCACATCTTCTTCATAGACCGATGGTTCACGAGCGTAGTGGCTGCGGCCTGAGTGGTATCGTGAACGGCTTCTCCGAGAGGATGCGACTGAAGGCGCATCATCGATATGGTAGTTCTCAAGAGCCCTCAGTGCCTCCTTCTCGGCAATCTTGGCGTTCCGTTCCGACTGAAATTGAGCTTTGCGCTCGCGGTAGGCATTCTTGGCTTGACTGAACACGCCGAACAGGTGTTTGCTCTATGATCCATCATATGTCAGCATCGTGTGTCGGTGTTCCGGGGAGTATGATCGTATACGTACCGTGCTCACCACCTTACCAGACTTGTCAATCACAGCGATCGTTTCGCCAAGAGGAGCCATGATGACTTTGTATAGATGTGTGCTTAATGCTCTGTCACTTGATCAGAGTGAACGATGTCAAATCGACCCTTTTCTTGCTTGTGAGATTTTGCCCAGTGGACATTCAAATAGGATCAAGCATCGATAAAATGATGGGTTGGCGATCCACAAAATCCCGAGCGTAAGACCAGCGGTGTAGCGCAACCAGGCGAAGGTGTATAAAAATGGAATAATATCGACACTAGTCGAGTCGCGGTGGAGATTTGGCCCGATCTCAAAGTTTGCGAGACTAGAGATCGAGGTCCAGGCCTTGATGACGACACAAATCACTGAAAAATCAGGGACCTGGGTAACGCAGATATATAACTGCGCTGATGGCGAATTTTGAATAGTGATGCCTGGTGTCAAGGTTCACAGTTCAGCTGTGGTTGTATTCGGAGTTTATAAGGAGAAGCACGATAAGCTGCGGAAGAGTCCGGTACGGTGCAACCAACAGTAACTAGTAGCTAGCATGCAGGCGGATGACCACGCCACAGAGGAGATTTCCACGCTGACAGGTAAGGGCAGCGAAATAGAGTACAGAGAAGGTACAAGGGACAAAAAAAATATGAGGGGGCTGGGGGATCTAAAAGGACGCAAGACCGGCGGCGGCGCCTAAGATGGGCATAAAGCAACGAACAGGGGGGAAGTATCCGCCTTGCCAATGCCAACCGGTTGGGTGTCGATGAAGCTGGGAACAAGGCAACAAATGCGCCAAAAAAGATTGATTTGCTAGATCTGAATGGCTGCACGGATCCGTGGGGACTGTGTTGCTGTCACCGCACGATCCAAGAGAGGGGACCCTCCATTGGCGGGGGAGGCGCTTGGGTACTGACGTGGGAGGTCAGAAAGTCGGAAGCCAACTTCTTGGGAGGTGCCTTGGGGGGGTGTACCTGACGAAGGATGCAGGGAGACGGCAGCACAAGTCCCAGTTGGATGCCTGAAGACCCCCTCAGCCTTAAGGGAAGGAAAAGAGCATGGATCATCGCTGCATTTCTTGGGAAAATTTGGATCAAAGCATGACTAGGAGGGACAGGGGAGGTACCCGTATCTACTTAGTCCGGAGTGGAACACTATCGCTCATACTAACACCTGGATTGCCTGATTAGGGAAGTCCCCGATTGTGGGTGGAGGGAAGGAAGAAAGGAAGAGGGGAACGGTAGGTGCCTGAGGACAGACGGCAGGAATGGCGGTGATGTTGCAGCTCGTGATTGGTTAGTCATGGCACCGCCACTGTGGCTGGTGCATCACCCACTGAGGAGTGTCCACGGGTTTTCCGGTCAGTAACACAGTATTATAGATGGTCATATTCTTTTACCATACACACTAAATAGATAACCCCAAGGCTACTTACACTTTACAGAGTATAGGCAACAGCTACTACTTACCTAGTAGCGTGGTCGCATTTCTCACACACCAGTAGCTGGCTGGCTGATTTTTAGTGGCAATCGCCACCGATTACTGTATTTTTATATTAAACATAGATGAAGATCGAATTGCTTGTTTTTCTAGAGACTTCCCGCTTCTCCCTTTTGTTCACACAATTCAGTAGAACGAGCCAAAGATTTTCCATAACCCCCTGTCAAGAGCTGAACACCTTTTAATTATGGCGACCCGACCAACGGGCTTCGACAGCTCTTTCTTTATCTCCATCTGCAACCAGTTGTCGATGGTCAGCGCGCTGAATAAACCAAGTGCGTCAGGACGCGTTATCAAATCCCGACCTCCCACGTTATGTATCTAGTCCGTCTGTCGCAAGCTGTGGTCACACCTCTACCCCTTAATTCAGACAGTCTCCTATAAATGCCACTTCCTTCATCAGGATACGCATATGCCTTCTCCAATAAAGCCAACGTGGACTCGCTGAATGCATATTCATGAATCATGTCGCAGTGCAATACTGAGACTTTGATAGCACGTCTGCTTTTAAAACCTAGGTTAGTAATTCCTATTCCCATATTCGAGCTCCTGCATCCCTGCTGGGGGGCCAACGAGGCCAGAACAACGTGCCATGTAAGCCGGGGGAAGATCCCATCGCTCATTGACCGCAGGGATAGGCGTTGCTGGAAGCATCCCAATTATACACAACCACAGCCAGGTGAGTCGGAAAAAGAGTTTAAGAAAAAGTGGATGTTCTGTTCCGATACGCTTGCACCGCCACAGTTGGGGGACGCCCCACCTTGCTGGGGCCAGCCATTTCCTTGGCCCGTGATTGGTCCACCTGGACAACCTTCACCGGGTCGATCACGACATCTCTGGAGGTGAAGCAATTGTGTTGTTTCACCTCTATCGACGTCGTGTTGCTTCCTTCAGCTTCACTCCTCCTTCCCCCCTTCTCCATTGATGCTAATTAGCCCTGTTCTGCATTCTTCATTCTCCTTCCCCATACCTTGCTGCTTATTCACCCGCCCCATTCATTCAAGCCTCACATATTCGCATCACAGCACATCACGTGAATCCCACCACTGAGCTGTCAATTCAATCGAAAGAGGAAAGCATAGCTGAGATCTTCGGCTCCATTGCGGGAGCAATGGAACACGCAGTACTTGTAGAATCTGATAGCTCATCAGATACCGATGACCAAACCAAGGTCTGGGAGTCCGATCCTCGCTCCGTGACGGCTCATCTCGCTCATGACTCAGCCCACGCGGCATTGCCGGCGGAGTGTGGCATCGGCCACCGCGTCCAAGCCAGTCGATCCGTCCTAGCCCTGGTTTTGGACAATGAATGCGTCTTTGCTGGACTTCAGGGCGGAGACATTGTCGTACGTGGTACCTTGACACCGCAGGACTCCACCCACTGACTCATCATAGGCATGGTCTTTGGAAACATACGATCTCGTCCTTTCGGTGCATGCCCACCAAGAGAGCGTGTTGGATCTATTTCTTTCCGAGGATGGAGAGCTCTTGTTCTCCAGTGGGGGTGATTCAATTGTCAATGTAGCTACTTCCGTATGCTTCTTCATGCGTCTGCAATGTTGACAAGCCGCAGGTTTGGTCCACGAGGACCTTCGACCGCCTCTACTCCATTCATTCCCACCATGACGTTGGTGACATTTTTGCTGTCGCTTATTCGTCTACTCTGAAGACCATCTACTGTGGTGGTCAGAATACCAGCATTCAGGTAATCAATTGATTTCATATGACGGTTTTGCTCCCTACTGACAATAACAGTGGTGTGATATATCACAAACGGATGCGGCTTCGACGCAACGCTCCGCCGCTCAATTATCCCGACGGACACACAGATTCTTCGATTCCAAAGGCCCTGATGGTTCCCGTGCTCCCAGGTCGGACCCGGGTGCAGATGGCGTACACCCGGGCGGCCAAGTTCTCACCTTCAAGCGGGATCATCACCGCTTATTTTCTCACCATGGCTATATCTACACCATGCTACTGGTGAGAGGGCTTGTTGAACAAGCACCCACTGAGGAGGTGCTTCTGACCGGTGCGGGCGACGGAGTTGTGAAACTCTGGCGCTTGGATCAAGCCAAGGACAATGCAGTCCCTTCGCAGATTGCGAAGCTCCAGAACGGAGACCCGGTGCTCTCAATCGCTGTCGAGGGCTCATTTCTCTACTGTGGTTTGGCGGGGGGCGCCTTGAATATCTGGAACCTGGACTCCCATCAACTGGTGAAGAGGATTTCGATGCACACAGGTGACCTATGGGCTGTTGATATCATCCACGGCGTTGCAGTGTGCGGAGACTCCAACGGTGTCATTAAGGTAGGAGCTTCGAGCCATGACTTGGATATATGATGCTCATTGGTTTGTAGAAGTTCAATTCCCGGTTCGAGGAAATCGGTAGCTGGGTGGCTCACGGAGGCACCATGTTGGCATCCTCAGCCGGTCGCTTCAAAGATCGGTACATCTACGCCAGTGGAGGAAATGATAACACTGTCGGTATATGGGATTTGACCGATGTGTCTCGAGCGCAACCTGAGCAGCCCCGCATCAACAACGGTATGATTATGAGTGATTAGCATAAATTACGCTTACTAATTCTACATTGTACAGATGAGATGGTCAACTGCCTAGCCAAATTTGTCGCATACAAGACGGTCTCTTCTAGTCCAAAATTTGCTGGTGAATGCAACCAAGGTGCTGCATTCCTACGCCGACACTGCATTTACCTAGGTGCCAAGACGAATCTGCTGACTACTGGGGCGGATACGAATCCGATCGTGCATGCGCGGTTCAACGCCACAGTCCCGAATAAGGTGGACAAGACGATTCTGTTCTATGGACATTACGATGTTGTTGGAGCGGATGCCAACAGGGATAAGTGGAAAACTGATCCATATCAACTGACCTCCATTGATGGCTTTTTGTATGGACGGGGCGTGACGGATAACAAAGGGCCTATCTTAGCAGCCCTGTATGCCGCGGCTGACCTTGCGCGGAGAAAGGAGCTTCGTTGCAATGTTGTCTTCCTTATCGAAGGTGAGGAAGAGTCTGGATCGCAGAACTTTCATGAGACCGTGCGTACACACAAGTCCCAAATTGGTCCGGTAGATTGGATTCTGCTTGCCAACAGTTATTGGCTGGATGACCACAACCCATGCCTGACTTATGGCTTGCGTGGCGTTGTTCATGCCAACCTTATCGTGACCAGTGATCATCCTGATCTTCACAGTGGTATTGATGGAAGTGCACTGCTTGACGAGCCTTTGAAAGACCTCACCATGCTTCTGGGCACTTTGGTTGGTCGCAAGGGTCGAATCAACCTCCCTGGATTCCAAGAGCCGGTCCTCCCGCTCACCGACGCGGAAAAGCAACGCTATGCCGCGATCTCTGACGTTCTTCTGCCTCATCATCCCGAAATTGCGGATAGTGATGCGCTGATTAAGTCGCTCATGCACCGCTGGAGGGAGCCGTCCCTCACAATTCATGCAGTCGAGGTACCTGGAAGCAGTAAAAGTGCAACCACGACAATCTCCCGCAAAGCCAAGGCCAGCCTTTCGATTCGACTGGTGCCGAACCAAGAGGCAGATGAGGTGGCCACGAATCTGACTCTGTTTGTGCAAGAGCAGTTCGATCGATTGGAATCGCAGAACGATCTGACCGTCGAGATCACGGGCAAATCGGACCCGTGGCTGGGAGATCCCGACAATGAAATCTTCGAGACCTTGGCTGAAGCAATCACCGCTGCCTGGTCACCAACAAACAAGCCCCAAAGATACGCATACCCTCCCATTCAACGGGAGGCGTCGCAGTCAACAACTTCTAAGCCGTCGAAGGAGCGGCCCAGCCTTCAGCGCAAGGACTCGGGCGATAGTCTGGCCTCTCACATTGATCGGATCATCATGTCGACAACGACCTCCTCGGCAGAGAAAACGGCGCGTCAGCGATCATCCTTAAGCACAACGGTGCCAACATCCTCGACGCTGGCCAGCAAGTCAGGGGCATCTGTCACCGAGGAGCCTGCCGGCACATCGGCCCCCGATGCTACCGGGGAGAAAACGTCCAGTTCGGCGGCGGGAGGACGATCTGGGTCCAGCGTGCGGCCCATCTATATCCGCGAGGGTGGATCAATCCCGACGATACGTTTCTTGGAGAAAGAGTTCTCTGCGCCGGCGGCGAACCTGCCGTGTGGACAGGCCAGTGATAACGCCCATTTGTACAACGAACGGTTGCGGGTGGAGAATCTGTACAAGAGTCGAGAAATTTTCGGGTATGTATTTTCGAAACTGCCAGAGCGGCTGTGAATAGTTACTAGCTGGGAAGAGCTGGGATAGACGGGGGTTAGTGATGGCTAGTGATGGCTGGACAAGGAGAACTATAATGATATGTTAATGGGGGATGGAGATGGCGTTTGCATATAAGCCTGGCTGTTATTGTCCACTAAGGTTCCACAAGCATAATGAGCATGCTATGCTTTGGCGATATCCATCCAACCACCAATCTACTACTGTATATGTACTAGCCACCCCACCAAAGGGATGTCGGCTCCAAGAAATGAAACGGGGGCTGGTTTCCGCATTAGGCAAACATTGCGGACCATCCGTTGGTCGGGGATTAAAAATAGCGGCCGTCATGCAGGTGACACGCCATTCCGAAAGCGGTAACTGCGATGTTAGTCCACCGGCACTGACTTGATGCGTCTCCATCTTGCTTGTCGCTTGGTAGTAAGTACCTGATACTACGCAGATAATACTACTTGACACTAAATGGTTGGGTTAAGATACTACGTACTACTACCGATTGAGCAAGTTGCTCCTGAGGGATTGACCCACGTGTCGCCTCACCGATGAAACATTTTCTAGCCTCGCGACGGTTACTTTAAGTACTAGCTTTCCTTTCTTATGACACGTCTCTCTCCCCCAGCCGAATTTGCGACAATCTAATCCCTACTTATGCCCATTATACTTCAATATATCCACAGTACCATGGATCGCCAAGGGTCACGGCCCATGAAATCCCGATGCCGACCTCCTGACTCTCGTTGCTTCTAACCCCCAACCCGGGTTGCATCGGGAGCCGCTCACTGTGGCTGCTGATGGTGGAAACTCATCCAGGCATCCACCAACTCAGTTTCATCGAATAATCACCGCCCTATGCCGATGATCTATTATCCACCTGGTCGGCCGTTCGTGTCCACGGTGCCGTTAATGCCCCAGCCGGCTGGACCGCGCCGCAGCTTCGTCAGAACCGCCAGACAGAAAAGCTCCGGCTCGTGATCGTTGGTCCACTTGTCTCACGGTGTACTGGTATATAAAGCTGGTCGTGATACTTTCACTGCTGGCTGCCCCGCCACCAGCAACAGTGGTTAAGTACTTAGCCTGTCGCTCTTTGTTTATATAGTTGTCCTTTCACCTCGGTCCTATACTCCTTAGTGTTCATTCTCGCCGTCAGTTCGCGTGTTTGCATCTGGTTCATTCCCACGTGTCCATCCCATCAGCTCATAGCGACATCCGGTCGCTCCCACCATGGCGGGAATACCATGGAACACCATTCACGTCGGTATCGCTGTATATTCCTACTTCCGATCGACATTCCGGGACTTTCTTCTGCTCTCTGCAGTCACCCTTGTCCTGAGAATACTCTACCGCTTGGTGCTCTATCCTGTCTACTTCACCCCCATCAAGCATATTCCAACTCCTCCGGTAAGCTCTCTTCTCGGACTCCCTGACTATGGAGACTTCTCTAATGTGGCTTCTATGCAGGGTCGAGCATGGTTCACCGGAAACAATGGCTCGTTCGTCTTGGTCAACCCTTATGACAGGATGCGTCGGTGGAACCAGGAAATTCCGAACGATGGCTTGATCCGGTTCTACTTGGGGGGCAACCTCGAGCGAACGATAGCAACAACCCCCAAAGCCTTGAGCGAAATACTTGTCCAAAAGGTCTATGACTTTGAGAAGCCTAAAATCGTCCGACGGTCTCTTGGCCGCATCACTGGGGAACATGGCGTGCTTCTAGTAGAGGGCGCTGAACATAAGGTGGGTCGCATGACCATTAATTTAATTTATCTACATACCTTATAACTGATTCGGGTATCTTTAGCAACAACGGAAGCTGCTTATGCCTGCCTTCTCATATCGGCACATTAAGAATCTATACCCAATATTCTGGTCAAAGGGCATTGAGATGGTGAAATTGATTGAAGCAGACCTGCAACAGCGTGCTAACCCGACAGACAACGTCATCCGCGTAGCATCTTGGAGCAGCAGAGCAACACTTGACATTATTGGTCTTGCGGGCATGAACCGCGATTTTGATTCTCTCCAGAATCCAACAAACAAGCTGGCAGCCGCATACCATAAACTCAACAGTGTACCTCCCACGCACTTGGAAAAAGGCCTCTTTGTTATTGGACTCCTTCTAAACGTTCCTCACCTGGTCCACAAGCTGCCATTCAAACGCAATCGTTATATCAGAGAAAGTGCGACTTACATTCGGAACGTTGCACAAGAAATGATCCACGACGCTCGACAGTCAATTGAAGGCGAAAAAGCGCATCAAACCACAGACGCAGTGGACATTCTCTCTGTAGCAATAGAGAGCGGCGGTTTCACAGATGAGGAGCTCATCGATCAGATGATGACCTTCCTCGCAGCCGGTCACGAAACCACCTCGGGAGCACTGCAATGGTGCGTGTATGCCCTTTCCAAGTATCCTGACATTCAAACCCGCCTGCGCGAGGAGATTCGCGCCAACTTGCCCTCTATTTCGGTCGAAAACCCCGAATCCATATCCGCCGCCACTCTCGACTCCCTCCCTTACCTCCATGCTGTCTGCCAGGAAGTCTTCCGCTTCCATCCCTCCGTACCGAACACTGTTCGCATCGCCAATAAAGACACCACAATCGGCGGGCAGAGGATTCCTAAGGATACGGTGATTCAGATTGTGCCCGCATTGACTAACCACGATAAATCCCTTTGGGGTCCTGATGCGGACCAGTTCAATCCCGACCGGTGGCTGGGCCCCGGCAAGGCCAACACCGGCGGTGCCACCAGCAACTACGCATTTCTGACATTCATACATGGCCCGCGCAGTTGCATTGGACAGGGTTTTGCAAAAGCCGAGCTGGCTTGTTTGCTGGCCACATTTGTTGGGAAATTTCAGTTCGAACTCGAGGATCCAGATAAAGAGCTCATACTCCGTGAAGCCGCAACAGTGACCCCGAAGGACGGGGTCCTAGTAAAAGTAACGCCGTTAGAGGGATGGTAAAATCATAATGATGCTATGATACCTGCGACTGTACATTTTTCGGCTTCGTTGTATATTTCTTCGTTTCTCACGATATATGTGTTGTTACCGCAGTACTTCAATATCACTGGGGCTATTGACTGATTCTAGTACTTCTAGCTATGATCAAGCACTAGCCTTCCTAATTTCCTCACCAAGATACTCAGCCAGAACCAGAATCTTCTCCTCTTGAAGCCGTCTTCCAAAGAGCTGAATCCCAGCCGGCGCCCCATCAAACACATCCGCATCGTCTAAATAGCAACATCCAGTCAGCACATAAGCCCAACCTCATCGACAGCAAACAATTCCAAGGGAAAAGAAACGGAAAGAGAAGAGAGAACTTACACTCCCCCTCCGTCCTCCTATCCAACTCCCCAAAATACTCCCTCCCCTCCGTCCCCAAAACATCCACCCCGCGATCAGCACACGTAACCGGCACAACGGCACTCGTATAATCCAACACATTAATAAACGCCGTATACCCAATCGTGGCATACTTCCCCGGAATACACGCCGCATGCGGCGCTACGGGACAAATGACCGCGTCGACGGGCCGGCCAGTCCCTGTGACTTGCGCCGTGCTGTTCCAGTAGTCGAGGTATTGTTTCTGGTATTCGCGCTTCTCGACGTTTAGGGCGGCGATCTCGAGTGCGGTCTTTTGCGGGGATCCCGAGGTGTCGATTACTACGGAGGTGTGGATTGTTTCTTTGGAGAGAGCGAAGTTTTGAAAAGCGTCGGCGCCGCCGTCCAGGTTGTAGGCGCGGTTCTTGGGATGGTTAGTTGGTTTGTTGTAAGGGGGTGCGGTGGTGGTGGTGAAGGATTGATTGGGGGATGAGGGAGGGGAGCTTACTGCGATGGAGGCGGCTGTTTGGTGAGAAGGGGGTTGCCAGTTGATGAGCTGAGATGAGTATTAGCAGTGTTGGAACTACGAAGGAGGAGGATGGCACTCACCTTGTGACCTAGACTCTTGATCGTCTCTGCAGCGATGCGCATCGCCCTTTCAACTGGCGGCTGCGGCTTTACCAGCCCATCATCGTAGAATATCCCAAAGGCTAGCCCCTCCGGCTGTCCCTGCACCAGCTTCCTCGTCTCTTCTACGATATCCTCCCTCCAGGGGATCTCCAACACACCAGGATCTCCCAGCCACGGCTTCGCCCCCAATACCGTCTTGAACAACAGGACCAACCCTCTCGCCGACGAAGACAACGGTCCTACGACCGACAACACTGTATTCTGTCCATCCCACGAGTTCGCCGCCCCCTCATACGGCATTCTTCCCACAGACGGCCGTATCCCATACAATCCATTAAACGACGCAGGGACACGAATACTCCCCCCGATATCCGTACCAAATCCTGCCGGCGATCCCCGCAAAGCAATCAGCGCTCCTTCACCTCCAGAACTTCCCCCGGAACTGAGGAGTCTGTTCTTAGGGTTATGCGTGTAGACTATGATATTGTTCATAGTTTCACCTGACATCAACGTCATGGGGACGCTAGTCTTACAATAAAGAACTGCCCCGGCAGCGCGAAGCTCTTTGACAAGCTCACTTTCGTGCGTAAGATAGCGCGGATCATCCGTCTTGCCTTGGAAGGTGTTAATCCACCCGACGTAGCCCATTGTTGTTTCTACGCCCTTGACGTGGAATTGATCCTTCAAGCTGACGGGCAGGCCGTGAAGGGGACCGAGTGGTTTTCCAGTTTTGGTATAGTGATCGTCGAGCACACGGGCGGTTTCGAGCGCAGCGTCGAAGAAGATTTCGTGTAGGCAGTTTACCTATGTTTTTTTGTTTAGTTGAGAGAAGAGAATAGTACTAGTCCTCCTTGTGGATGGGGAATGTACAAGTTGATGCGCCAACGCTGCGCGATGGCAGAACGCCTCGGTCACCTCCACAGCCGTCCACTGGCCCGTTGTGGTGCGCTCTGTGATCCCTACGGCATCTGTTTCGGTGATTTCAATCTCGCGCGGGGATAGGAACTGCTGGATGTAGGGGCCTGTTACGTCGCGCTGCTCTGTCGGAGAGGGGATGGGGCCCTTGATGCGCCATTTCTCGGGGATGGCGGCGAGGACGGATTGCCGTTTGGTGGCTGCGGTTTGTTCCCAGGATGTCAGGGCCATTTTGGAATCGTAGTGGTTGTTGTTGTTCTTGTTGTTGGGAGGAGTGTGTGTTGAGGAGTTGGGCGGGTGATGGAAGAGGGGGTGGACCATGGGATCTTATCAATGCGTTTGGTGGGATGATCATCCCGTTGTCTTGCCTATCTTTTCTATTCGTCAATCATATGAAGGCGGGGGATTGCAGGAAGTGGAACCAATGGCGCGGAGTATATCTTGCTTATCGTCCTTCTTCCTTAGGGGAGTTAGCTTGTTTGAGGCCCGGAGACAGATAGTGCTCGGACTTATTCTATCGAGTAGATAGGAAGGAGATACGGAGCGGCCACAATTGGAGTCTATGCGTTGGTTGGGAGAGATAGAGATGGGCTTCTCGAATGAATGCTCGGCAGATGGATGGATGGATGGATGGAATGCCAAGCTGACAGGCACTTGCTACCCCGCTATATTGTAAGATGCTGCTGCGGAATATGCATTCCGCATTTCGGGTATTTCAGAATGTCACAATTCTGGACATGACTATATACGGCCGTCTATATGCTACATCGAACAATAAATACCCAAGCCAGCCTGCTGGACCAAGGTTCTATCTCAACCAGCTATACCACCCTGCCGACAGCAGGATTCCCAACTCTTAACCCACGTGTCTTGGGTAAAAGCTCCTATTTCAAGAGAGCATTGGCGTACTTCCCACACTCAATATCCATGAGTATTGGAGAAGATAAACCTCGAAAGAATAGATGCACTAGTTCCTTGCTCCTGCGGTATAGAATAGTACCGTCCATCCCTCCGTTGGCTTTGAAGAACTGCGCAGCTTGATAAGCTGCCAATGGTCACTCGTCGCATATATTCAAAGCTATGCTCCGCCTGGTTGAACCCACCATGGTTGCGCTTTGTAAGACCTTGCCCCAAATTCAATCGTGAGGTTTCGCAGCTTCCATTTGTCGAACGTTGAGGTTAACTCTCTTGCCTGACATCCACCCTCTCCAAGCATCATACTGGGTAGCTGCACCATCATGCGGACTTGATGGCCAATTAGCAAGCCACTCAGGACAGGTATTCGGCACAATCTTCGGTACTGCATGCCAAGCGAAACGTGAGGTGCCATCCATGTACACCGCATCTCCGGAGCGAAGGCGAATAATTTCACAATCTTCGCCATCGTCATGACTGATTAAGAAGAGGCCATCGCAACCAAAGCTGACACTGATCAAGCCTACATCACAATCCTCACTGACGTCGCGATGGGGACTGAGGTGGTCGCCAGCGGAGTAGACATTGAGAATAGCTGCCTGAGCTTCAGTGGCTGGGAACATAGCATGCAAGAGCTTTGCAATATCCCTGGGGAATTCGGGAGGACGCTCCGACGGATACACCTTGGCGGTCCAGTCATATTGGCCACCTAGAGTAACCCAGCGTAGCTTTCTGTTCAGTATGCTCTGGACAGTAAGTGGTTTGTGCACATTTGGATCTTTAGGCTCTATGGCACGGGCTGGATCATCTCCAAAGAAAGAAGGAGGATAAGCGCCTACTGGACTAATATCGGCCGAGACCGCTTCAACCTCGTTCACCGCACTAGGATAGGTGATATCATAGTGCAGATGAAGGTTGGTTTGATGCCGGGGGTTAGACAAATCCCGGTGGAACAGACGAGATAACAACTCGACCTGAACTGCGGGTGGAAGCAACGAGGGAATCACTTGCAGACCTACAGCATGTCAACAGAGGTTTTCTACAATGGAGTGTGCCATGGGGCAATAATGCTAACCGGAAATAGCACGATGGCTGAAAACAGCGACATCCCTAGCAGGCCGAGCACCCTGCAGATCCTGGTTCGTGCCGAGGAATTGGTCAAATACAGGCTCAAAATCTGCGCTGGAAATCCATTGCGTTAAGAAGATTTCCTCTGGGAGATTTTGAGGGTCCAAGGACTGCAGATCGATGATACTGTCGTCAGACTCTATCTCCGTAAGCGTGGACTTCTGGTATTGCTTATAACGCTGCTTGATGCCCTCTGGGGGACGCTCATGGGCGTTCAAATCCTTGATATGCGGCATTAGGATGAATTGTGCAGCTGACAACTCATAAGTCAATAGACAGCCGCAGTAGTAGTGTTAGTCCACGTAGTCTTGTCCAGACTATTGCATATCTACGTGAAAGCCCAGAGACTCCGCCTTCCTGTAGTTGAATGAACCGATCTGGATAACTTTGATCGTGAGGAAGGAATGAAAGTTTGCCATCCGGCGGGCTCGTTCCAAACTTCCAACTTGAAGCGGGAAAAAAAAGCCACTGGCGGCAACCAACGAAAAAAGGGTCAGCTGTCCACGCGCTCACCGCCTTGGGACGCGCGGGTTTGTTTGTGTACGGCCGTTGCTGACCGCCTTGGGCTCCCCACCAGCAGGGATGAAAAGACTCCAAGTTGAACTGCTTCAGATCTCATAGCCCAATCCAGGTAAGTTTAAGGTAAGTCACGCTCGGGACGAGGCTGGTTTCGCTCTTTGGACCCTTGAGTCTGCTTCTTATTTGGGAATTGACTCCTGCCTCGCTTGCTGTCAACTCCATTGTACTCCCAAACTCCTCGCATTCTGCTTGACGCCTTCTGTTCTTCCCCGGCAACCCAACGCCGTCGTCGTGCAGCCTCCTTTGTTTCCTGTACCCCGCGTGCTGGTAGACAGGACAACACGCTGTGTACGCTCAGTTCAATTTTCGGATATATCAGATTACAGTGATTGTGTGAGGAAGCAAGGAAATCAGCGACATATTTCATCATGGAGAACTACCAGAAGATCGAGAAGATTGGAGAAGGTACGTCCACCTCAAGGCCGATAACAATTGTACTTTCTCTTGATCCGACTCTTATCCGATCGCTCTGCCTCCATTTGGCTCCGAGACTGACTCGAATCTGCTTGTTGTAGGAACCTATGGCGTTGTCTACAAGGCTCGCGAGCTCACCCATCCCAATCGGATTGTCGCCCTCAAGAAGATTCGACTAGAGGCGGAGGATGAAGGCGTTCCTAGTACAGCCATCCGTGAAATTTCCCTACTCAAGGAGATGAGCGATCCCAACATTGTGCGACTCCTGAACATTGTGCATGCCGATGGCCACAAGCTATATCTCGTCTTCGAATTCCTAGATCTCGACCTCAAGAAGTATATGGAGGCTCTTCCTGTCAGCGAAGGTGGCCGAGGCAAAGCTCTTCCGGAAGGCTCTGCTTTGAGCAAGAACATGGGTCTTGGCGATGCCATGGTCAAGAAATTCATGGCTCAGCTAGTGGAGGGTATTCGTTATTGCCACAGCCACCGTATTCTACACCGTGATCTCAAGCCCCAGAACCTCCTGATTGACCGTGATGGCAATCTTAAGCTGGCGGACTTTGGCTTGGCTAGAGCTTTTGGTGTTCCCCTGAGAACCTACACCCATGAGGTATTTCTACAACCTATCAGACCTGTCTCATTGTAACGTGTTATTGACCTTCCTCAGGTTGTCACCCTTTGGTACCGCTCCCCTGAGATTCTCTTGGGTGGTCGTCAGTACTCGACCGGCGTAGACATGTGGTCCTGTGGTGCCATTTTTGCGGAGATGTGCACTCGCAAGCCTTTGTTCCCTGGTGATTCGGAGATCGACGAGATCTTCAAGATCTTCCGGTATGCTTACCTTCTTTCCCGTGCGAACAGCCCAATAGCTAACCTCCCTGGATCACAGTCTCCTCGGTACCCCAGATGAAGCCATCTGGCCCGGCGTCACCTCTTTCCCCGACTTCAAACCCACTTTCCCTAAGTGGAAACGTGATGAAACCCGTGCACTCGTTCCTGACCTTGAAGAGGATGGTCTGGACCTCCTCGATGCTCTTCTCGAGTATGATCCTGCACGACGAATTTCTGCCAAGCAGGCCTGCATGCATCCCTACTTCCGGAACGGCAGTGCCTACTACTCAGGACGTGCCCGGAGGAATGGTTTTAACTAGCCGGTCTACCTTGCGCATCATCCATTAGTGTTGGTGTACGTATCATGTGGACAACTGCGCCAGATGCAATGGACGGTATTCAGGTCTAACCGGGCTTATTTACAGGCCCAGTGCCTGCACTTCTCCCAGTATCTCTATTTTTATATCTTTTGTGATGCCCTAGGTTTTCCTTCTGTTTGTATGTGTTCTTTTATTCATGGCGTTGCTTGCGGAGTGGTCTGGAAGGGACGAGATCAGGATACTGGATATTACAAGGAGTGTTTTTGAGTTATGCGTACATACCCATAAATGAGTAACTGCCAAAAGAAAAATAGCATTCTTTTAATAGCAATAGTATGGGTGTGACATCGATCAACTCCCGAAATGGGAGGCAGCCTTGCGGCTCGTATTTTCTCTCTTCCCCTGGTCCTGGCCCCATGACATCCATGTGGTGTACCAAGACTCGGTCCTATCCGGTCACGGCTCGGACTTGTATTTCCTTGACACCTTGCAACGACCTCAGCAGCCTCGAAGTTTACCTTTTCTTCCTCAATTGCCAAGGTGGAGATGCCTCTCCAACCCAATGAGCTAAGAGAGCCAGCCGAACCGATGATCCCGTGTCCTAGCGCTTACTTTACCGCTGAAGGGACCCTTCGTATTTTGCATGCAAGCGCTTTACTCTTCTACTAATAATAACCACTGATAGCGACAGTCTAGCTGAATGTGAGCTGACGCCAGTATATCTGACTCTTTTGTCCCGTAAGCACGGCATCTATCACATCCGTGGCTTTTCAGTAACAGGGTCTCAAACATAAGATGCTTACAAGCTGAGTCTCAGCCCATGTGCCCCCAACCACACCTCAGTCTGCCAACACGAACGGCTATAGTCTGTTTCACCATGAAAAGTGTGCATAAACGTGCATGCGACTCCGCTGATCCCTCAGCTGCCAGCTGATCACATATGACTGTATCGCGCAAGGCTAGCTACCCCCGGCGGCGGCAAAAGCAGTGAGAATCAAGTATGCCTATTGGCTAACGTTATTGGCGGTGCTTTAGGGGCGCTTTGATGCTTACCAGGGTCAAGCAGGTTAACTATGATTTGCTCAGCCTCGGATAGAGACACGAGGGGTCCTCGAGGACTCCTGACTATTAAGGCGGGGCATGTGCGCTGAAAATGCAAGCATGAGTTGAAGCATTGGTAGTTATCCTCTTCGTGTTCATGTTCCCTCGTCAGGTTATTTATCTCATACAAAAGATAATCTATTTCTCGTCGCCCATATAATACATAGCTCTCTAATCATGGATTGCGACGACCATCAAGACTTGGTCTATACCCCTCCTCCTTCCTCACGATCAGAGAGTCGCATGCGCAAAAGGCCAACCCAGCCACCACAGGAAACAATGCAGCAGTTCTGGAATGGCTTTAATTCCAAGTTTCCAGGATTGGTCCATACAGTTCTACCAGACAATCCGTATGCGCGCAACAAAGCTGCCAGGACTCCCTCGGGTGTAGTCCAGGGACAACATGCCTCAAAGTCGTATGAGCAGGCTCGGGCGGAGTGTCAGCGCGCTGTGGAGCGTATTGCAAGGGAATGTGAGCGATTGAATCAGAAGTACACCGACCCCCACTTCGACATCGAGGTCGACTTGAAATGCCGGAGGAGGAATTATTTAGAAGGTTTGGATGAGGAGAACCTAGAGATGCTTCCACGGGGCGTCAAGAGAGTAACAGTAAGTGATATCTTGGCTCGAGAGTATGGTCCATGAGATGAGACACTTGCTGATTGAGTTATCTTCCGAAGGAAATATTCGAGAAACCGGAATTCTACATCAACGGGCCCACTGCCTCGGACGTTCGTCAAGGCCGCGATGGCGACTGTTGGTTCATGGCTGCGCTGTGTACCATGGGCAACAAACAAGGGTTGATCGAGAAGATCTGTGTCGCTCGCAATGAGAAAATTGGAGTCTATGGGTTCTTGTTCTACAGAGGTGAGCTATTGTCCGGATTGAAGGGCATTAAAACGCTAATCTCCTCCTAGACGGTGAATGGCAGCAATGCATCGTGGATGACAAACTTTACCTTCGTGCCGCCGATTACGACGAGTCTGTAGAGGAACGATCGATCTGGGATGATATCAATCGAATCGATACAGAGGAAGAGTATCGTAAAGTTTGGCAGACTGGATCGCGGGCCCTTTATTTCGCTCAATGCGCAGATGAAAATGAGACCTGGCTACCGTTGCTGGAAAAGGCTTATGCTAAAGCTCATGGCGACTATTCCGCCATTGAAGGCGGGTTTGTTGGGTAAAACATTCCCAGATACCTATTTCACTCAAACGCTAACAATTTCCAGGGAGGCGCTCGAGGACCTCACCGGGGGTGTGACATCTGACGTACTTACCAGCAACATTCTGGATAAGGACCGGTTTTGGAAAGAAGAGCTCATGCACGTCAATCAGGAGTTTCTCTTCGGCTGCGGCACGGGCATATTTGCCAACTGGCTGGAGCCGGAATATACTGGGCCTCCGAGAGATAGGAAAGGTATCTGTGAGAACCACTCATACTCGATTATGGAAGCGAGGGAAATTGACGGTCAGCGTTTGCTACGGCTAAGGTACGTATAAGCATTTCTCGATCGTAGAGAGATGGCTTACACAATCCAGAAACCCATGGGGTAAGAAGGAATGGACTGGAGCGTGGAGCGATGGCTCCGAGCAATGGACACCAGAATGGATGGAGAAACTGGGACACAGGTTTGGCAATGACGGCGTAAGTCACCTACCTTTTTTGTGTATAGCCATACTTATAGTTACAAGTTCTTCTGGATTTCCTACGATGACCTCCTCAAGAAATACCAACACTTCGACCGAATCCGTCTTTTCAACGACGACTGGACCGTAACCCAGCAATGGACAAGCCTGAACGTGCCGTGGTCGGCAACGTACCACAGCACAAAGTTTGTATTAGATGTGAAGACAGCTGGACCTGCCGTGATCGTTCTCTCCCAGGTGCGCACAACCCAGAACCTCAACCCTCCTAACTCAACTGACCATACCCCCAAGCTCGACGAACGATACTACAAAGGTCTATCCGGCGAATACGACTTCGACCTCAAATTCCGACTCCAGAAAGAAGGCGAAGACGACTACTTCGTTCGCAGCCACGGCAACGAGCTAATGTGGCGATCCGTTAATGTCGAAGTCGACCTCGAAGCCGGACGCTACCACGTCCTCATGAAAGTCACAGCATACCGAAACAAAGAGAAGCTCCCTGTCGAAGAAGTCGTCCGTCGACTAGCTCCCACTCGGCGCAGCAAACTACTTCAAATCGGCCTTTCCTACGACCTAGCGCACGCAAAGGGTATCGTTCACGAAACCGAAAAGGAGAAACGAGCACGACAAGAACGCGAAGACCGGCGAAAAGCAGCTGAACGCAGGAAACGGAGAGAAGAGACTAAGGAGAGATTGCAGAAAGAGTGGGTCCGGGCGAGGAAGCTCGAAGCCAGACATAAGAGACTCGATGCAAGACTCGCTACTAAATCTGGCAAAAAACAGCAACAACTTATCAGGGAAGACAGCCCGTCTGAGGAAGTTGTTCCCGATGGGCCCGTGCAACCACCTGTCAACGAACTTAAGCTCCCTGGGAAAGCCTCTATACCTTCTGTCTCACTTGAGGACGGTCATGTCCCGGACCACTGCGTTCGAAGCAAAAGCAAGACTTCTCTATCCGTCCGGGTCAAGAACCCTTCTTCAGATCATGCTGCAAACGCTCATCTCCTGGAGGGATTCGAATTTGACTCTGAACTCGATATGTCTTCTGACGAAGAGCCAGTTGAAGAAATCCGCACACCAGTCAAATCCGTTAGCAGCGCCGGCGAAGGCGATGCCAATAGCGATCCATGGAATGCCGTCTGTGTGGTTGGCTTGCGGGTTTACTCGAAAGATCCTCAGTTGTCTCTGGAGGTTCTGCGTCCCGTGCCGGAGGATGATGTCGAGGCGTCACTTGACATGGATGATCCGTCGGCGAGTGCAGCTACCGAATAAGTTCCAAATTGGCCCGGGGATTGGTTGTAGATGTGGTTCCATCATATTTATGTAGAATTCGGTTTTCAGTTTGTCTCATTGTCTATTATCTCGTAGGCAACCTCGGCGCATATAATATAGCTCGTATACAAAATGTATTCATCCAATCCAGCAAACCGAATCCATCAGTCACGATTCAGCCCCAGCTAATTGAGCCTAATACAATATATCGCTTTCATATCCATACTAAATAATCAGGGTGGTTTATAAGGCCTGTAAACACACAACTATTGCACTTCTGCCCACAATGACTAGTGACGCATACATGAAGATGCCTTTCTAACATCAAAGACAACCCCATATTCCATTGGCCCGATGAAGTACTTGGACTCCCTGCTCCCGGACAAGCCGAAAAGAGGATGCCCCAGTCCGGACCAGCCGAACTGAGGGGAAATGACACAGACGTGACAAGCGACGACACCAAGCCCGTAGTCCTGGTAGAAAAAAGTATGTCCCAAGTGCCATCCCCATTTGCCGTCGCAGAAACCAACCCAATCAGGTGTTATTCTGACGGTTGTTGATCCTCGCCAACTTCGCTTCCAGCAAGAGATGGATATTCTGCTCATCATCGCACAGATCCACCACCTCGTCGTTAGCAAGGATCCCGTCTTCGGTATCTGAAACCAGAACATTCTGATTCATGAACAAGACGTAAAATCGAGCACGAGACCCAACTGCTGCAACTCCGTACATGGTCTGTACGTTGCCTAGCCTGTTTCTGAAGGCTAACATGTTGTCTTGGAGCTGTTGCCGGACTCCATTCCACTTATGCTCGGTAGGGGCCCTTCCTGTGGGCTTCTTGGCTTCGACTACAATGACCTCGTGGAAGCCATTGTTCCTAAAATTGACCACAGAGACATCAGCCTTACTCATCGATTGAGGGTAATTTAGGTATGCTTCCCTCTCTACAGAGGAATGAGAGGTTCGGAAATAATGCGCCAGGATATTCTGCCAGGCATGGTCGACCGGCTTCTGAGGCTGATGCTGGCCTATTGCGATTTCCGTTATATATCTCTGGATCGGAGGGCACTGGTAGTACCGTAAGGTTTGAGGTGGACCCTGCTGCATCTTGAACTGATGTTATGAGAGTCGACGTTTAGAGGAATCCCTTTTGCAAGACTGTTAGAGAAAGAGATGTTGTAAGACGCCGATTCAAGAGAGGTGCAAGAAATGGGGAGTGCTCGTTCAGTATATAAACATAACTATAGTGTTATCTGACTACTAGTTTCGGATTTCTGTTGCTATTCACTAGCCAGTATCCTATCCACTCATAACACCGACATCCCAAAGACTCACCATCGACAAACGAGGGTTGCCTTTCTCAATCATATTCCACCCAGAAGGACCTAATGTTCAATACCATGCTACTAGAATACACCAGTGATATCGAACCCTTGCTCTTTGCAGGTTGAGCAATTAGTCTGTCATGTTTCTACCCCTGCAAGTACGTGCTGCAACTCATTTATTGTCTGAATTCTTGTATGGTAGGGTCTGGGTTCCCTTATTCCACGCGCTGTTTACTCCGTTGAATCCTGCTCAGTATTATAAGGAAACTATGGATTATCCTATAGACTAGCCCTTACCTGTATATACCATAGACTGTTTCTTTGGATCTGCCTCGGGCCCTGCAAGTACATCTAACCCTAAAGCCAATCTCCTACCTGGAAGCTTGGCGCAAACTGGCCCGCTTTCTAGTTGATCGCCGAGACGAACTGGGAGGAGGCCGGAAAAAGAAGTGCCCAAGTTCATTTCATGGATGGACCTTGTCCTCTCTGAAAATACACCTCTAATAACTCCTGCCTGCCTGTCGGGCCGCTAACATCTTAGGATTAGCGCAACCTGTCCTCCATTAGAAGCCCTCCATGGCGCACAGTTCAGTGGCCCAGTGGTTAGGCCCGAGCTGCCCTTTCAAGTATCGTGCATTCTTGTGACCTTCCAAACCCGAACGCTGGAACTGCCAAGGAATCGGTGCGAATGTTCCGCTCAATATCGCCGGTTGCTCTGACTCAATGATGATCACTACGGTGGATTACGCGTCCGAAAAGATTCATAATCTATTTAGAACCTTGCTCTCCCACACGCTTTTTACTAAACAGGAAGAGACCATCATTTCTTTCCCTACTATCCCAGTAGATCAAATCATGCCCCGTCGACGTCCCTATCGTCCCTATCGACGCCCACAAGGCGTACAGCCGAACATGCCAAGGGCTCCCGAAGATTATAATAGGGACCGACAATGCATACTTTGCGGGGACTTTTTATACGACGCCATGGGCGTGTGGCGTGCCCACTATCGAGCCCGTGAGTAAATGAAATGACTGGTATCCCTTGAGATACATCATATTGACTTCAGTCTAACAAACAAATACAGTCTATCAGACCTCCGGCTCCGTTGAACTGAGTGGGATTGGCTACAAGGAGAGTCCTGGGCCCCTCAAGATCCCCACAGACCCCGACAAGAGATGGGACACCATGGGGGACGATTTCTGCACAATGTCTGAACTCCCATGTTGGCCACGGAATCTTTTCCTATTACATGAGGTATGCTGGCAGAGGTTGATGGAGCATATCGCAGAGGACAATGTGGATTACAGTGACCTCTACGATGTGTTCAAAAGACTTCCATTTCCAGCTGGACGTGGTTTGCCTGCCTGACTCCCCTTACACAAACTTCAAAATCAGACGAAGAGATATATCAAGCATGTTCCATACTTCAGGCTGACACAGGACCCATTCATAGGTGTTTCGTCGTACTTCGATTACATGGAAGGGATCGAGCCGTATCAGGCACCTCTCCTTATACAACTTTTACTATCCACGCGAGAGCAGCCTAGATGCGCAGCTGAATTACAAAACAAGCTTAACCGAAGCTACAATGCAACTGACTGCTTTAGACAGCTCCCTATTGAGCTGATCGAGTTACTTGCGGGCTATCTTTCTACGCGGGATTACCTCAACAGCCGGCTTGCCTCACGATCCATGGGCATGCTCTTTCATAAACAAGGATTCTGGAAAACAAAATTTGATATCAACGGAGAACGTGGGTTTTTGAATTATCTTGTGAAGGAGCATCAAAATCTGGATTTTGATGATTGGCGACTGCTATATCACAGCACGTGTACTCTGCGATGCAGTCGGTTTTTCGACATAACGATCCGCCTTTGGGAGACCAACCGATGGATCAGAGAAGCAGTAATACGCAAGTCCAGAGGCACATTATCCGCATCATCATTTATGGACTTTGGTGGACGTGCATTGCAGTCTTATCATAATACCATGTGGCCGGAGACCAAGTATCGACAAACCGTCAAGATTCCACCAGATCTTGTAAAGATCGGGGTTTCGGCCCTTACCGAGTGGGGCGAGCAGGCGGTTACCATCCGAGGCCTTGAGTTGATTCGAGCCAGTGGGCCGAGCATACTTCTGGGAGCAAAGATTCCCGGGTCGTTGGTGATTGTTGAAGAAGTAGATGACCACGGTGGTGGCCGACCTGATTGGACTGAGGACCACACTTGGTACCGCTGCTGCCCGGGAACTGAGGTGATATTAGACGCGCAAGAACTCCGGGGCTTCATGATCACCAACACCGTAGCTGGGCGACTTACCCATTTGCAATTGATCCGACAGAACGGTTTCTCGAAGCCTGTTGGCTTCTGTTATCTCAATGGCGCTAGTTATGCATTTCAGATGGACGATATCGTCAACTTGGTGGTGGAGTTTGACGTGAGTCGATATGACCCTTTTCTGTCTCACTCCTGCAATCAATGGGAGCTGGGGTGTTACAAAACATTCAAATGGGCTGACAGGCTTGGCAGGTGAATATGAACCTAAGACAATTGGGCATTCAGGGCTTTGGTAGTAATCAAAAGGCAAGGGATTGGGATAGGGATGGCTATTACAAAATCACCCGTGATGATGATGATGATGATGATGATGATGATGATGATGATGATGATGATGATGATGAGGACTGACCCAATTCATGGGATATGCTGTTGTCCTCAATAGTGCTCAATAGCAGACTACTTTGATCAAGAGAATAGGATCCACCAACACAAGTCAAATGCTAACAATACACAAAAGTTTGTAACACAATGCATTGTTCGATTTTCCTTTGTGCTATTAGAAGAATATTCACTGATATCCTTGTGTTAGTCGCAAATCCAAGAGTATAAAAGGTCTTCGTAGCCCGTAGTCGGACATAGTTTTCTTGTTGTAACAATCACATCCTTCCCCTCCCTCCAAGAAATTAAGTCCTTATTAACAACGATGGAGCGTCCTACGCAAGTATGTCTTATCTATTCAAGAATATGAACTACATTATAAGATATGATACTAATCTTGGCGGCGTGCATAGGCCATCTTCCACAACGCTGTTTTCCTCGCTGGGAGTTTTTCTGGGGCTGGCCCCCGCAAACGTGCCCGGGTTGAGAAGCCGAAGAAGCCTGCCAAAGAGCAGAGAGACATCACGAAGATGTCCGCCGCGGAGAAGGTAATATCAACTCGCCTTAAAAATATAAAGTCAATATAAGCATATTCTAATATCTGGATCTAAAGAAGAAGGAGATTGCCCGCCTCCAAGCCGCCATCAAGAAGGAGGAGGAGGAGCTAGAGAGGAAGAGGGAGAAGATCGCGGCCCTGGAGGCCTCAATTCTGGCTGATGAGGCCGACGACAAACTTATGATTGAAGAATGAGGCTTCTTTTTTGTTTTCCTTTGTTTTTTTTTTTTTTTTTTTTTTTTTTTTTTCAACGTTAAAAAACAATCAATGGCATATTTTATTCGCCCTATATACCCAGCGTAGCAAGGAGTATACTACGTCTTCAATCCGACGTCTTTTCCCGTAACCAGAGGCCCGCCAATCCCCTTTCATCCTGCGAGTACCGAGTGAGAGTCACTCTCCTCTCACTGTATCCCTTTTCACGCCCCCAAAAGCAAGATCTTCGCATGACATCGACCATGTCATGGGCCTGCTGTAACAACACACTGGGCGTTTTATTTCTCTTTGTAGAGGACCCTTTGTGCTGCCTCCCTTCCGAGTTGCCGTTTTGGTCCTCAGATTCAGGCACAGCTTGAGTAAATATTCTCACCCAAGGGAGTTCCATTTCCAGCCGCTTAACCCCATGGCTAGGACTCTGCCACGCCGGACCACTATTCCCGTAATCGAGACCGAAAGGAGGCCATCGGGAGAGCGCCTTTCGCCGACGAGGAGGACTTCGTTTCGTCTCACTGCCCGTAGACTCTGACTCACTCATGCTATCCTCTTCCCCGATATACACGTGCCAGAAATAATCGATGAGATCATCCTCCGTGGATACACTTTCTCTCGCCTTCAAAACAGGGATCGGGTACTCCGGACCGGTAAGATACTCCGGAAAGAAACGAGGAACATTCTTCCCTGGCGAGCGAAGAAATAGCAATGGTGACGCAAATGCGTCGAAATATTTCTCGGGAGTGGAGAAGAATCCTTTTCTTGCTTTAAGAAGAGGGACAAGATCGTGGGGCGCAGTCCCTCCTCCGCGGGGGCCTTTTCTGCTTCTGCTTGGGACATTTCCATTAGCATTATTGGAGGGCGGTTGCTGAGTGCAATGCTCATCAAGCGAGGTCCAGTCGCAGATGGGGTCAATGGCCGCTACTGCGTGGATGGATCGTGCTTCTGTAAGGGAAAGCATGAGTGCGAGCGAGCCGCCGATGTGCGTGCCTAGGACTCCTAGGCGCTGGGGCTGAAGGGTCTGCAGAACCCAGTCAAACCCGGCGAGCGTGTCATGGATGGGTGTAGGGAATTTGTATGGGTTTTGGTTGAGGGTTAGTTCGTTGGGAGTAGCTGGGGAAATTCCCAGACGGTAGTTAACTGTTACTATTGTCGAGGACGTGATGGACGCTATTTGTGACAGTCGCTCAGCTTCTGCAGTGGGTGCATTTTCGTCGCTATCAGCTGCCTGAGGAATAGCATCTCTAGATGATTGAGAATGAGGTAGGTTGAAGATTGGGCCTGCAGGAAGGTTGATAATAACGCGCTCATTGGGTCGTTTTGTCAGTGAGTTAGAGTTAGGTGGGGTTATTCTTCGTTCGCTATCAGTACTGAGGCTGAATTGTCTTCTGCGGTATATCTATCAACCTACTTGAGTGCTATGGAACCGTTGTTTCCAACTGGAATGTTGACACTATGGCTGTTATGGGAGAATAATGCGCGTCGCACCCATTTGCTAGATCGTAGATGATCGTGTCCATGTATGACATGGTAGCTACATAATGCAGGAGAGAAAAAACAGACTTTTGATGCAGAATACCTGCATAGAATCATGTCATAAAGTGGAAGCGAGACGATGCGAGATAGAGGATGGAAAAGGAGCTGTTGAGTAGTAGTTGCAACTATACCCGTTACGGGTCGCAGCTCGGCGTGGCCTAACTTAACTCCGACCGCGTACTTTGAGGATGTCAATAACCATATTCTATGTTTCTACCATTTCATACCTACTGGTAGTTTCAGGGTGCATTGGGGCTATCTAGGTAGACAGAGTAGTTCTTATAGGTTATTATTAGGGATTATTCGCTAGTGTCTAACTAGTCAGTTAACATCCAGTTATGTCTTGGCATTATGTGTATGCATGACCCCTACTTACTTATACCATATTGTTTGCAGGAGGCACATTGTCAGCTTCGAAGTCCCGCAAGGGGATATCACGACCCAATGAGGGCCTTGCGTTTAGTCTCAGGACTTCATCGAGATTTCGGGGCGTGTAAGCCCTCTGTGGGGCTGGAGCTGGCCATCTATATATATAGGTACATAGTATTGAGTTAGCTGTATTGCTCTTGGAAAGCCTTCAAATGGTATATTAGAAGTATGAGGAAGGGAAAAAGAAGTAGTATAAGGAGGGGAAAAAGAAACTTGTGCCACAGGACACTTCAGTTTGACGTGCCTTCTATTGATGTATTTCACGAAAGCGTAACAAGCCATTCCGAGGAGCACACTGGTGAAGCAAAGGCCCGCACACAGGGCACCAACAGCGAGGTTGTGCGACATATCGCTTGATGTAGTAGTGTAGTTACTATGAAGAACTAGTAAAATCCCATAGGATTGTTTGAACATAATCAACTCTCCCGGGCAAGGCCTGCACCTTCCCATTCGGGAAGGAAGGCGAAGCGGAAAGGAACTTGTAGACTAACCCCCACTTACCATCATTGACAGTCAATAACCCCATTTCATATCTACTGATAATCTCAAGCTTATTGAGCCTTTTTAGGTAGAAAGAATTGTAGTCAGCAACTTGTATTATTTAAATTCACCGGTTTGTGTGACTAGGGTTCATCATCATGGTCACGATGATATTGACCTTTAGACCAATTCGCACCAAAATATAAAGTCCCAAACCCTTCCAATCGCATACGGATCACCGGAATTGTTCCGATCAAACCCAGCCCTAGCCAGTCCCTGATCTTCCGGAGTATTAAGCTCGAATCCCCGAGCCCGGATACAACATCCGCACTGAGCCGTACAATGACCCAAGGCATTAGGTCGGTCCATGGTCCGTGGCCTCTTGCAACATCCACAGTCGCGACCACAGCATCCTCCTCTCCCAGCACAGTCCCGACGAAGATTCAATATCATGTGCCCTTCAGGGTGCTTCCGTCTTGTACGTAACGCGCGTCGAAAGGGCGAACTCGGAACTTTCAGCCAGTAAATATATTCTTCTCGTTCGGTCCGCCAGAGCTCGCGATTCAGCTCATCTAGTTCTTTGTACCAAGCCTCGAGTTGCTCTTGATCATCCTCAGATAGCTGTGTTTTGGTAATTCGCTGACATTCCGCTTTCAAGAATGCTTCCCTCTGCAGAATTTCACGACGACGCATATCATTTTCAAGCAGAAATAGCACAGCCTCACACGTTTTTGTGGAATCTAGCAGCTGCCAAATGACTTGCTTATAGCGCATTCGTTGAGCCGTCTTCCATCTTCCGGTACGCTCGAGATGGTTTTCTATTTTTATCAGAACTGGCTCGGCTCGGCGGGCAAGTGACCGTCGGAGTAGTCGCAGTAAGCAACTCATCTGGAATATATGATCGGGGTGGTCGTTGTGGTAGATCGTGATCAGACAGTGTCTTAGCTACAATCTTCGAGAAAAGCATTCGGACTGTTCAAGAAATTCTCCTGTTTTATGAGTCGACGATTATGGCAGTATTATGCCATTGTGAAGCTATATACTGTTCATCAAGACGTGATGATGATCGACATGATCACTCTATGCCAGCTGAGGTAGAGACTCTCTTGTTGGCATTCTAGAGACTATATGCACCTCCCGAATGAGAAGGAAAGCACTAGTTTTTAATCGAACTTATGCCTTTCTCCAACAACTACTCATGCTACCTGTTTGAACGTTCTTAAGGGCTTTCACTAGTCATTTTATATTGCCGATCAAGGCGAATCTGCCTTCAATTCAGCCCCCTCTTACTGTTACCTCACCTGTCTCTCCTTCCTGTATCTAGAGGAAGTCTACGCATCTTGATTGCGTCACAAAGATGACCAAGCCTCGACTGCTCCTGATAGTTTCTCAATGTTGCTTACCAAATTCTTTTGATATCTTCCTCTATGGGAGATTTGCTTGAGAAAGCAGGAGCAAAACTCAGTATCAAGAAAAGGAGGAAGCTGGCTGGCTTGGCGTCGTTTCTTCTCTGTTCTGCATTAGTTGCCAGTTTTGAGCAATTGTTGGACACTGACATGGAAGGTCCTGTTCACATTGCTAGTAATAGTGCAAATGCAATTGCCGCATGAGTCGAAATCAAGGATATATTAAGGTTGTACTGAGGAAAATACACGGTCGTTCCTACTCCCTCCCTAGCAACCAGGTTACTTGCAACATAACATTCAGAAACGGAACTTACACTAACACACACTTACTATCATTGACAGTCAATTAACACTGAATTTTATTTGAGAGTTGTCTTTTGTTTCTTTCATCTTCCAGCACCCGGTGGTTACAGCAACAGCACTTCAGTATTCCACTGAAATTCATAGCCTCGGCCTGTGGCCATAGCCACCACAGCATTGGCGGTACAACGACAACATGCTTAGTATGTTTATACTCCAAGTCCATGGTGGACAGATCAACTGTGTCTCTTCAATGAGACAGCTAACATCTTCTCTACTTTCCCCCAGCACGCGTGCCCGCCGGGCCAAATGTACTTCCATAGCGGAGGCAGAACACCTCCAAGCAGCACAAACCAACATATTGCCGACACTAGGCAACAAAATGAAAGTTTTGTTGCATGGAGAGCACCAGCTCTCCTGCCAAATGAACGCGCCCGCGAAATTGGGCAAAAGCCGATATATCCCGAAAGGGAAATCCTTCCGGCAAGGTTAGCTTCCATATCACTCCTGCGCATAATAAGAAAGGAAAAATCCCGAGGGAAACTAACAAGCCACATTTTGCAAGACTGGAAATTCTGTTAGCTCCCATGACTTCAGCCATTATCGGGGTGGCCACCTATGAAGTCCTATACTTCTCTTCGACTAGGTGGCCACCCCGGGTGCCTGTTGCGCCCTACCAGCCCCAATCCTTGGAGGAGGTTCAAGCAATGAACCAGCGGCCCAAGAGGGGGTTTCAAGAGTCTTTGGGCTTTCTCGAAAGAAAAGGGAAAGAAAATATATCTCCACACCACGAACTCGACGGCCCGTCCTGGGCAAAACCCTACCGCCACTACTGAGGAAACTAATCTCCAACAAATGGATCCTCAGCAAACAAATACTATCCAACAAACGAATTCTCGAAATACAGTTCAAAATACCACAATTACTGGACACAAGCGTGTATATATTATTACAATCAAGCAGGCCATGAGCCTGGTCCAGTGCTTTGATGATTACGAGGTCTTGTAGCGTTCAAGGCCATATTCTTGCTCCAGACGGTGAGGCGCCTGCATAAATAGCATCTTATCTAACGGGCTCTGTAAGTTAAAAATGAATTATAATTCGATTTGATCCGAGTATTGAATCAAATCTACCACAATCCAACGGAGTGCGTTAAGTATGAGGAAGATTACGTGGTGTTGATAAGGAATGGACCGTACGAAGAGGTCGCAAAGCAAGCGAATGGTTAGGTGAAACCCTTTGGCTTCTAGAACGTTGATAAGACCAGTAAGCTGGGTCGCCAACAGAAGTTAAGAACCAGTTCTTCATAAAAAAGAAGTAGTAGTATCTAACATCATAAGCTATTTGGCATCTATATCTATATCATAACGAAGACCCCCCGAAAGTAGTGGTCCCATTAGGCGAATCCCACCACGGCTCAATATCAGTCAGGCTAGGCAGAGTCGGGTCACCGCCATACGTGGTGGTCGTATTCCCCAGGTGAGGGAATCCACTATCGCCCAGATTCTCGGAGAGCAGCTGCAAATCTGAGTCCCGGATCCAGTCCAATTCCCCAGGCTGACATACGCCTAATTGCTGTGTCGGGTCAGAGGCTGGTTGTCCCGGTCCTTGATGCAACTGAGACTGTGAGTGGTTGAGAGAAAGCCCTGGGGCTGTGATTGAAGACGTATTGTTGAAGGATAGAGGAACAGCGGCTTGGTTCTTTGGAGCAGTGACTCGGGACTTTTTCCGCGAGGCCTCTGCATCTGAGATGCGTCCTGTGGGCTGTTGAGAGGAGAGTTGATGACGACTCGTTTGGCGCTTCAGTGCCCCGGAACGTCGCATGTGCGCTTGCCAGCGCCGTTGCAGACTGACCAGAAAGTCGCGGGTGCGTTTGGCGTTTTCGAATGACTGGCCTATCTCATCGAGTGCGCGGAAGCAGAGATTCAAGTAGGCGACCATTTCTGCGTTGCTGCTAGCGGTATCTCCGCCTGGTCGGGAACTTGATATGGTGACGTAAAGGAGCATGAGCGCCGCACTGAAGATCATCGCGACAACCTGGTTGTTCATACGCCGGAATGTATAGTGTTTCTCGTATAAGTGGAGGAGTCGGGCAATTGCTATTGATGACTCGACGCACATTCGTCGAGCGTGGTGATAGCCGGGCCCTTGACGCGGGCTGCGGGGTTGAATGTAACTCTTCGAGACCCATGGTCGGTGGGTGAAGATGACGATTTGATGGTATTGCATGCTGTGATCGTATTAGTCTCGGATACAAGCGAAAGTGAAGTCGTAGGGGAACGCGAACGTACTGCAGTACTAGGAGGTGAGGTAGTTTCGGAACATTATCATTTGCGAGGTCAACATCCAGACTGGATGGCAGATTGGCCTTCCAAGCGAAAAGGTCATCCGTAACTCTGTGGCAGAGCCTCTGCAGATCATGGCGTGGAATGTCGGAGCAGCCGTATCTGTATCCCGCGTTAGCATTTGCAGAAGGGCGTCGGAAGCTGGGAACTTACAGAATGTGGCCGACGGGCGATACGATCTCCCAAAGAACGGCGAATTGGCGGCTTATAAGTTCATTCGGGTTCCTCAATCCGTTCTCCAGTAGGTCTGACTTCATTGGTAGCCCATACGGGTGCCACATGCCTTCCTTTTCAGCTCCTAGATCGGAGGCAGGCTTTGGGATGGTGATGTCTCCTGCGTTCATCCGGAAGGGCCTTCCCAAATAGAACCCCCAGAAACTGTACCATCGAATCAGTCTTGGTCTATAACAGGTCCACCATCACAGGTGATACTTACTGATCCGCAGTATAGCTGCCCCAGAATGCAATCCTACGTACATCGGCCTCATGAACGCTTATGTCGCCCTTTTCAACGTAAGGTGTCGTATCCAAATGCAGTCCGAGATCGAATGCAAGTCGCATTGACATCCCTAGACACAGTCAGTAACAAACTTGCAGTTCCCGAGATGGTCAGCTTACCGCTATAGAGCCAACCTCTGGCATCGCGATTAGAGGATCCCTCGTGTGAGCTGAGGATAACAAGAGCCTGGACAGTCGCAACGCAAGGGGAATCCAACTCAATCTCCAGAAGAGCCTTGGCCCTGTCTGCAAAGAACTCCGAAAGCGATTTTGGAAACGTGATGAATGTGGGATGATACCGGGCTTCGAATGCACTACCAATGGCGCACCTGGAAGTTGTCAGATCAGGTCACAAATGATAGAGGAGCGGGTACTTACATGGCATTCGTCAGGACCTCCGAATAAAAGGGTGTGTCAATCAAGTCGTTCCTCCATTTCATCCTCGCATCCATATACATATCCTTATCGACCACATATGTGCTAGGGTTTTGCCAGGTGAAGTAGAGTTCGACAAGGTGGTCCTCGAGGGCCTGGTCAACAGGCTGCCCCACCCGCAGATGGTTCAATATATCTTGTCCATCATGACGGACGGTCCGTGCATCTGGGCGTTGGCGTTGTTGTGTCGCAGACACGTCCACAAGGTTGAGATTTGAAGTAGCTCCATAAAATCTGAGGTGACCATCACCGGCGATCTTCAGAGTCCCTATGCGATGCGAAATCTGCTCAATGACATCTTTTTCCGCTTCGTCTTCCTCACCACTATCAGACTCATTGTCTCGGTCCCACGCTTGGCTCAGTAACACGCCCGGTTGTTGAGTGATGTCTGGTGTGAACTGGAGGCTATCGGGACTAGTACTGTTCTCGTTGGAACGATTGGAAGCGCCGTCTATGTTGGCATATAGAGCATCTAAGCTCTCTGCCGTCGGAAGAGTGAACCCCCAGTGTGTCGAAGGATAATTGGCGGACAACCCCGGGTTCATCGCCAAAGGGTTCATAGAAGCTTGACTTTTCTCGACCGGTGGTATGAGACCCTGGTTAGGAATTACACTGTGCGATGGAGAGGAGACCTTGGGTACATCCTCGGTGCCACCTAGTTGACGACTCAAAGAAGGAAGAGGAGATGGTGTGTGGGCCGGGGATTGAGTAACGGGTTGGAGCTGCGCATTGTTCCCACTAGACGCCACCGAATCCCTCCTTTTCGCTAGCCCCCGAGGAATTTGCAGGGTATCCAGAACCCTGTTCATGCCCGCCTCATCTTCAGGTTTCATCGGGGGCGGTTCCAACCCATGATCGTAGATGAACTGGCATAGTTGGTCTATTCTTGCGGAAAATAACTCCGTCGCGGCACGGAGAGACACTCTGGCAAGGGTACGGTCAGCCTTGTTTGGCTGCGCGGATAAACAAAATGACCAGTTTGATCCTGCGCTGTTCGCTGAAAATTTGATATTCCATCCAGATTTTATCGTAAGACGGTCGATACCCAGGACACGAGAGGCAAATTCAACGAGGCCGACGGAGAAAACAGAGAAACAGCGAGCGAGTTAAACCTACTTCCGCTTATCATCACCGTGTTGGTATTTGCAATCCTTTCCCTTCTTCTCGCAATTGTGGCAGTTCGGAGTGGCACCGTCACACTGGGCGAAATTGCGTCAGCATCCGGGGAACATTATACCAAGTCTGATGATAGGATCCAAGCGAAGAGTTCACATACCCTAATCTTGCTCTCCCGACAAGGAACACAAGCGGTGGTGACATGCTTCCGAGGCGCCCGCTTGGGCTTCTCAGACTGCGGCTGCATGGTGATTTCAAGATTTGTTGAGTTGGTGCGACAGCAGCGCGAGAATACCCCGGGGTGTGGGGGGAGGGTGAAGGGAGATAAGTTCAACGAGGAGGGTGAGAAGAAGAAAGCATCCGGTCACCCAACATCGACTGAGGGCAGTCGGACAGCATGCATGGTCTAAGATGCAATTCAGGGAGGAAGAGGGTCATGAGGACAGACGGAGATGGCGCACACCGTCAATAATAATGGTCTGGAGTTCTTGTGCTGGGGGGAAGGGTCTTAGCCCGGTCGGCGACGATGCTCTGGGGAAGTGTTGGCGATCCTCTGATAGGCGGGCCTCCCTGGGAAGCGGGGGATATCCCCCCACTCAGTGGGCCAATCAGCCTCTCGGTAACCCCAAGCATCCCTCAAGGGAAAGAAATCCCGCGCTACTCGACGCTTTCTTTGACTCTACAAGTACATTCGGCGCAAATCGCGCCTTTCCCGGCAAATACAACAGTGCTAATATCTTCAGTATATGTGCGGCAGGCTGGCTAGATACACAATCCCTCTACTACAAGTTACCAGTACGCTTAAGCGCCTCGTTCTGGACAACCTCTACCCAGTAGTTATCAGGATCCAAGATGAATGCCACGTACTTCATCCGTCCATCCGTAAGGCGCTTCTTCCAGTTAACGTTCAGAGACTCGAACCGATCACAGGCAGCGTTGAGATCATCGACGGAGACACCTGTAGCCACCGGCTGTTAGCGACTCCTCTATCCTCTACGGAAAGCTGGCCCATTAGGCGGGCTCATCATAGAGAATGACTTACAGATGTGTCCGAATCCTTGCGGTTCCGTGTTACCGTTGTGATAAACCGGGCCCTCTTGCTTCTCCGTGCCATAGTTCCAGGTGAGCTCCAGCAGACCTTCCCACTCAGAGACCGGGTTGGTGGCACCCTCTCGCTTCTCAGGGTTGGCACCGGGGTAGCCCAGGAAGTAAAGGTTGAATCCAGCATCCTTGTTCTCAATGGTGCGCAGCAAAGTCATTCCAAAGACTTCCTGGTAGTACTTGACGCTAGTCTCGGCGCACTTGACACGGAGCATGGTGTGGTTCAGGCGGTAGGTGGAGGGATCGGTGGTGGTGCCAACATCCTCATTGTGACGGCGGATAATCTCGACCCAGTATCCATCGGGATCCTTGACAAACGCGATGTGACGCATACGGCCCTCGGTAAGCTTCTTCTGGAAGGGGTATCCGGCATCCTCCAGTCGCTTGCAGGCAGCCTCGATGTTGTCCACAGAGACAGCAATGTGTCCAAAACCGCGGTAGGGCTCAGTGTTACCGTTGACCACGCTGTAGTTGGGGTCATTCTCCGTGCCATGGTTATGGGTGAGCTCCAAGACGCCGTTGCGGTCGGTGAAGTGACGGTCACCCTGGAGAGATTGAGGGCCATCGTAGGCAAGGAAGTAGAGGGAGAACTTGTTCTCGGGGAAGTCGATCTGGTTAACCTTGTTGAGACCCAGGTACTGGTAAAATTCCACTAAGCGATAGCGACAGATGAGTATATGAGGCACCTCTGAAGCCTACTCTGAAAGGCGAACATACAAGACTTCTTCGGGTCCTTGACCCGAAGCATGGTGTCTGTCGTACAGGCACATTGTTAGCTCCAGACCAGACTGATGATCAGGGCAAAGGGAGCCACTAACGGTTAAGCTTATACTTGGAAGTGTCTGTCGCCATGGTTGCGAGGGATCGATTGGTTCCTACATCTCCTGTGGTAAGCTTCTGGAATCGATCCGAGTGGGGAAAGCTATCCTCTGGAAATGATGGAAGCACGTACCAGTGACGATGGAGAATCTTGGGACGAGGACCCTGAGGAAAGATGAGCGAAAAGCGGGAAGCGAAAACATGAAGGAAGGAGGGGGGAAAGGAAACAGAAAGAAAGATGGCTTGTTTGGATTAGTGAGCGGCGTGTGAGGAGACCCGAAAAAAAGGTGGGGGTTCCACCTGCCTATGACGCTATCCAAACAGGTCCGCCGAAAGCTTGCATTAATAATGGCATTTCTTTAGATTTCGCATATGTCAATGTTTAAAATTGGCTTCCAGAATACTCTGCGCATCTCCAGATCTACTTATTATTCGAAACGTCTACAGTGTTGTGCGCAGACTAAACCACCGGTGGTGATAAGAAATCCGAACCAAAAGAGGGGAAGAATATATACTAGTGCGGCGGGCATAGTATGATAGTACACTAAATGAACAAATGCCAATTTAGTACCCACTGCACACTGAATCGCATAAAGTTCCTGCTAAGAGTACTACTGTGACTATAAATAAGTTCAAGTTTTGGGGAATAAGCCCCTGCCGAGACAAGCGAGACCATAGTAATTAGTAGAGTATAGATGTATAGATGGTTCGGTCTTTAATACTCCGTTACTATCATGACAGTTGGGAAAGGCGGTGAGAGGCGGGATACCCCATACTTCTTTTCTGCCGCCCACCTTTCCACTTACTCCGACAAAGCATCTCCAACTCCCTCTTTCCCTCGCCTTGGCTGATCCTAGTCGTTCACTTTGCAACCTCCTCGTGTCTTCAATCCCCTAGCGCAGGCCGCTCTCGCCCTCTATAAGGTTTGTGTTTTCTTTTTTCTCTCCCGTATCCTTTTGTGTCCCTCTGGCTTGAATCCCCAGGGATCGTCATCCTCCGCCCAAGCGATCTTCGCTTTCGCCCCAGACATCGGCCTTGTTGGCCATTGACTGCCGCCTTTCGTTTCTTTTTCCTCTTCCTTTCCTCCTTTTCCTCCCACGTTATGCTATTTTCGTGTCCTTACCTCGCTCCATTGCTGTCGTGCCCATTGGCCCCCGGCTGTGACATTCCTCCGTGAAACATCCCCCACGCCTCGCTTCCTGCGTTCTGGAACGTCAGATGAATCATACCACGCCTCATTTGACCATGAGATCCGGACTTCGGCATCAGCCTTGGACAGGAGATCCAACTTGATTAGTTGTGTCTTTAAGCCAAAGGGGCAGAAGAGGCTACTTAAAATGATTCACGTTCGTCCTTTGTACTACCGCCGTTTCGTCTTATCTTGGACACTTCACTCTGCTTTCTACCCTCCTACAAAGCCCCTTATCAAGCCCATTTTTTTCTGCCCTCAAACTCCGATCATCATCTACTACCCTGAATATCCCATAATACATCCTTACTGAGACAATATGGCTGAATATGATCATCCAGTTCGGCCAGGTATCCCCGGTCAAACCCCCAAAGTCCATCCCGAACCCCCATACCGTCCTTATTGGGCACGAAGCCCCGTTCAGTACGCGCAAGACCTCCTCGGATACTCCGAAGACCCGATCGAATACGATTACAACGACCGTGACTACTGGGACAACTGCTTCTTCTTTCCCGAAGACTGTTCTTGGTCTCCGCCAAAGGGCTGGATTATTGAAAACAAAACACTCGAACAAGACATCGCGCTTGGAGACTGCTACGAGCAGCACACCGGAGGCAACATGATACCCGGTCTTCCGGACATAAAAATGCTGGATGCGGAGGCGCTCAGCGACCTCCTAGAGGATAACCTGTCGCCTCCAGAAATCACCTCTATGATGTATGGACATTCCTACTCCCTCGGCAATGGAGATCCTAACGAGCCATGCTTCACAGGGTATTCGCTACCAATGGCGCTATTTTCGCATACGCATCCTCCCTCCCTTCCCGGCAGCTGCGCAACCTGAGCGCAACATACGGTGCGGCGTACACATGCTATGCGAAGAATGCATCATGTGGGAACCTCACTGGCGTGAACCCTGCCAGTCATCCATCATCATACGTGACCACCCCGTCTGTGTCCCTAGGCGATGTCGGATCTATTGTTTTCGAACTTGACGATTTAGTGGCGGTCGTGACAAGAATCGCAGACAAGGTCCTTCTTGCCGCAGTCGGGCCATCGAAACTGGGAGATGCCGAAGACGCAGCAACACCGAACGGTACACAGAGTCTTCTGAACGGATCCTCACATTCCGGAGGCGACGACGCAGCCAATGATGGGAGGACATATGCCAGTGTTGTAGCAGCCAACGGAGGCCGTCATGGCCCTAGCTCAGACGCGCAGCTCGAAAGCCAGTACGAAATCGACCGGAGCAGTGATCTAGCCCGTCTAGCGACCTTGAACCTCTCCGCCTCGCCATCCATCCTGCTCGCGCTGGAGTCCAAATCTGCAGCGTTAGGGAGATTCCTGGGCCAGAAACTGGCAGACCTCGAAAGCCCTGAAGATTTCTAAGCCTGCACCCTTCACTTCTCACCCTCGATACCTTTATTTCCCGTACCTTCGTCTGTATTTACTGCATTTATTTTATTTCTTTCTAACTGTATCTATCCGATACGAGCTTCCACGATTCTCCCAGACGTTTTTTACCCTCTTGAGCGTTTCTATTACAACGATGCGATACATTTGTCTCAATCTATCTTACCTTTCTTATTCTCTTGCAGTATATTGAAATAAAGCATGTATCTCTGAAGACGATGTACACATCCAGAAATACATCCGCTTGGATGAATCGATGAGTAAATACACTAGCTTGTTCATTCTGTATCATACTGGACATCAGAAACATAAGTAGCAACGAAGATACGCAATGAAAAGGGTATAAACACCGAAGCGCAAGCTTGAAACCAACAGCGACTACTTCTCGGCCCGCCCTGCATCGCAGAAGCCGACGACTTACGTACATTCAAGCCAGCAGACATATTTTCATAGATTAGTATCTCCACATGAAAGCAAGCCATCATATAGACATTAACAGAAGAATACCAAGTGTTATACGCACCACCATTTACGCAGGAAGAAAAATAACAGAGAATAGGAAACAAAAGGATAAAGTTCAATTCGCATGCATGCAGCAAAGGGAATATTATACGGGTAGTAGTTAAGAGTAAGTAAGTTAGTTAGTTGCATATATACCAGAAATAAGGGAAAAAAAGATAAATGATTATCACGCCTTATCCTCCGTAGCAGTGGTAGCAGGTGCAGCTGCCGGTGCGGCGGCACCAGACGCAGTAGGGAGAGTGCCGGAGCCGCTAGTGTTAGTACGAGAGACAGCAGCGGGAGTGGTCGGGGACGGAGCGGTGGCTGCTTCCTGCGGAGGAGCAGCAGCGGATTCCTTCTCGACATAGGCGGGGGGCTGGGAGCTCTCGGCCGCAACAGGGCTGGTTGGCGAGGTGGTGGTGCTAGAAGCGAATGTCGGAGCGCGAGTGGCGTCCTTGATGACGGTCCACCATTTCTCGGCCTCGTTGGAGTTGGCGGCCTTGAAGCTCAGCTCGGTGTTGGTGTGGAAGGCGTTTCCGACCTTGCCGCTGGAGACGTCCTTGCCCTTGACGCTGAACTTGGAGCCATCAATGGCGCCGATGATGCAGTCGGGCAGGTAGAGGGAGAGTTCGGGAGCGGGGTCGCGGCGGAGGTCGTCGTTGTCCTTGAACTCGTGGAGGTAGCGGGCGGGGGTCACGACGTAGAAGCCGCTGCTGTAGCCCTTGAGCATGGCGCGGGACTTGCGCTCCAGAGTGCCCTCGATCAAGGGCTTGGTGGCGCGGTGCTCCTGGTTGGGGAAGGTGATGTTGGAGAGGGAGCGCGGCGGGGCGTCGGGGTTGACGAGGATGTGGTCGTTTCTGGTCATGAAGTTGACCCATTCAAAGTCCGGGGGAACCTTTTGCGCGGAAGACAGAATGTCCGTGTACATGGCGCGGTGACGGTCGAGCTGGCCGCCCATGTAGACGACGAATTGCTCCATAGCGCCCTGGACGGTCTGCAGGACATGGGCCTCGAACTGCTGGAAGTTGTTCTGCACAGCGATGAGGTCCTGGCGGTTGTTGTTCTCCTCGATAACCTGCTTGTTCAGGCGGTGGGTGACACCTCGACGGAGAATGTAAGGGTCATGGGCCGTGTCAATCTTGTTGTGGGACGCGGCGTCAAGTGTGGCCGTGTGCTGAGCGAGGAGCTCAATGTGCTTCTGAGTGACACCGCGAGCCTTGTCGACAGCCTTAGCGCCCTTTGCAGCGCCGTTCTGCAATTCCTTCGACTTGGCCTTGATTTCCTTGTGAAGACGCTCCAAGGTCGGGAGCACGGAGCCTTTGAGGTTCCTCTCAGAGTCAAGGTACAAGTTCACCATTCCCTAGAGCCAGCTGTGAGCTGATGTCGTCATCTCGTGTGTAATTGGATAATTACCTGAGTGTTGGCGCGGATGTTCTCAAACCAAGAAGCGACGCCGCCAGCGCTCTGGGAGAAATGGTGGCTTTCCCGCAGAGGTTCGTTCACGGTCTGCACGCAAGGAACCCATTGTATCAGTATAACAGGCATCCAACCTTTCAAGTTGAGCCCAGTGTAGCCAAGCGCACCTTCAAAACCTTCTCGAAGTCCTTGGACTGCGACTTGGACACCTTGGCCGTCGCAGACACATACTCTTCCAAATATCCACACATGTGCTTCCAAGCACGGAGACGCTCGAGGAGGAGGTTCGTGGTCTAAACAGTCGCGAAATCATTAGCCATCTATCACAGAATTCTAGAGTATGGATTCCCATCGCCTACCTCATTGCTATCAGAGCCAGGAATGGCCTCGTCATCACTCATGGAAGTCCGACGACTGACACCAGTCATGGCGCTAGTGACGGTCCCCGAACGCTGAGGGAGCTTATGCTCCACGGGACTGACAGGAGTCGACATGGTTGTTGCTGCGGGGAAGGAGACAACAAAAAAAAGATGCGGCGTGCAACCTCTCAGGGACACAGTTGTTCAAGGAGGGGAAAGGACGGTCGAACGGCGCGCCCACGAGGAATAAAAACTGCAGTCGAAGCGGTACAGGTGGAGGACACCGGAAGCGCGATCTCCGACTAGTGAAGACGGTTGAATCGGCAGACGGATTAGGGGCTTGTTGGCCTTTATTGAAGCGGAGGAAGTGGGGCGAGGACAAGCAGATGCCGGCGAGACAGACGCTCGGAGGAGGAGGAGGAGGTAGGAAAGAGGCGGTATAAGTATATGTGTGATTCGGACAGAAGTGGAAATCGGGATCTGAAAGAGTGAGGAGGAGGAGGGGAATAAAACTATGTGATTGACGTCGATAAATGAGAATAAATCTCCAAGCGCCAAAAGCAATAAAACGAGATCAAAAGGTAGAAGATTTGTTAACTGAAAGGTAAAGGATCGACCGATGAAGTCACCGCCCAAAGGAGTTTTACCCCTCAATGGCGCAAATCAGGATGACCCACGATTTTTGTTCGTTCCTCAGATGTTCCCTCCGATTCCGGCAAGGGATCACCGTGAAAAGTTGTTCCATGGGGGAGGTTCGCCATCCTTTCCGGTCGATTGATCGCAGACAATAATGATGATGATGATGATGATGTGCTGGCCCGTGTAGCATCCATCGATTGTCTGCTCTATGATCAGGCCATGCCCACTTCGGAAATGCCACCTCCGCAAGCGGATCCCGACTCAGCCACACTTTTCCAGGGGGAATTCAACACTCAATGGCCATTCTCCTTCTCCCCCCTCTGGTTCTTTTGTGGCTACGTCAGAACGGGGAGCTCAACCAAACAATCTCATTCATTGACGCTTCACAATCAAGGTTTTCTTGGCTTTCACGTTTCACTGCATCCCTGGTACTACTCTTTCTTTAACACTGAATAAATAAAGTCTGGTTGCAATGATGGAGTTTAGATCTATTGCTGTCGTAACGCTAATGCTATGAGAGTATGAAAGTATTATTTAACAGGTAAACTGTGTATTGCCCCTCACTTGAGAGAGGTCTTTTTTGGGGTAACATGTGCATAATTCGTGCCGACACCGGGTCATGAAATATCTGCTCGTAAAGCGCCTGTCATCTCATCATCGATAATGATCAGGGTAGAAAAATGAAGAAAGAAATCCCGGACTCCCTGTCCTCCCTGTCAACCCATCCCGTCTATTAGTTGTGAACGCCAGTTAAATAAATCCCCACCCAACGAGTCTAAGTATGTATGCGACTAGCATTCAGAGGCACAACGACAACCCTCCGTGTTTGGTTCAGAAAACACACTGTAACAGGGAAACGGCAGCACACGCTGTTAATGCTTTATGGGATAGGCCGAGTTCAAGATCCCCGGACAGCCAGCATCCGAGGACCGATGAATATGTGCTGAGGTGGTATTCTTTCCGGTAAGTCGGTCAGGCGGAGCCAGTCACGCCTTCACCTGACCACCGAGTGCCTGCCCCAACCTAGCAGAAATAAACTCCAACTCTTTTTCACACCTGCTCCCTCAGAAGAGAACTTGATCGAATATTATTCTTAATGAAATCTGCAACCCAATTAGACCCTGGCTCGAGCTTGGACAAGACGCAGTCGACGTTCATCATCGTCGTGACTGGAGGTGGAGTGGAGGAGACCAGACCGGCTGTGGAGCGCATCGATAGCGGAGAAATATGAAGACCCGCGGCCGGCGGTGCGGACATGAGCCTGCTGAGGCGACTGGGGCGCGGAGATGACAACATCCTCGGCGATGACAGCTTGATAATCAGGCAGTTCCGAGTCGCAAGGGCGAACAGTAGTGCGGACGGCGGTGGAGTAGCTTGGGACACGGCTCAGGGTCTCGACTTCGGCATATTGAGGGTGGTAAGGAGTCGCCATTCCGGAATGAATGTAGTCATGATCGACCTCGTCAGAAGGACGGCGGGAGAGCTCAGGGCTGGCGGGGCTGTGCGAGTTGGAACCGGATCCCGCTCCGAAGTAATCGGGAGGAACGCCCAGGCGACGGCTGTCGTTTTCCGGATGCTCCTGGTCGGTAGGGGAGGGCTGATCATTCCCGTTGGCGCGCAAAATCGATAGACGGGTGTGCAAGGCAGAAGCGGAGATGTCGGTGTTGGTCAATGCATTCATCGAAGCAAGGTTCTCAGCCGACAAGTTACGGCTAAGGGTGCCGAACGGAGTGCCAGGGCCACTTCCAGGGCCTGGAGTCCGGTATCCAGAAGGATCAAGTTCGCTGTACAGTTGATCGAATTGATGCTCGCCGTACAAGGGAGGAGCCTGCTGGGCGAGATTATCAACCGCTCTTTGAGCGGACTGAGGGGTCTGGTCGATAAGGTTGTTGTTTTCATCGATGGCTAAGCTGGGGGAGATGAAGATCGAGACGGGGAGGGTCGCGCGAAGCTGCAACAATGTCAGAATAAACTTCCCAGTACCAATTTCAAGCCATGGGTTTGCATACCTCGCTGACGTGTCCATCAGGATTCAGGAGCTGAACACGGAACTTGAGCTTGTGACGGATTTTGATGCCCCTGGTGTCAGTGTCCTGCAGGCACCGAGTCAAGGTCTTGGGCAGATCCAGATGACGCGAAAACTGATATCCCTCTGCCATTTCATCGATGATTTCCAAACCGCTGTCCTCATCCAGCTCATGCTCATCGTTCAAAATGGTTCTCGTACTCTTGTATGTGTTGCGGACGGAATCAGGGTCTTCGGGGTTCAGGGTAAGGTCGTGGCTTTCGATGAGCTGCGAAACGATCTGTCCAATTCGAAGTCCCTTAAGGAGAGGGATCAGCTTGAAGTCCACACGGATGCTAGTTCCGAAGACCACGGCCTTCGTTGGTGTGCTGATCGAGTATTCAATCTTGTTTGGCCAGACATTTTCCACGGACTGCCATCAGTGTTAGTAAAGAACCTCCTCCCACTAGCTTGGAGTATATGTAGGAACCCACCATTGCGTGCGCAAGCTCAAGAGCACTAGGCTCCAGAGTGCGAATGATACGGAGCGGCCGGCGAACAATAATATCCTTGGCATATTTGCGTCCAATTTCCGCCTTGAAGCGATAGGTCACGTAGGTGTCGTTAAGGCCTTCAACGCTCTCCGGCATAGATCCCTCGAGAACAAGGTTGATGGGGTACTCGTAGTTGCCCGCTGGCAGAACCTCCGTCTTGCTTTTGCCCGCATCTCTGAATCTCCAGGTCTTCTCGTAGAATACACGTTCTCTCCACGACTTTCTACCGCCTCCGGCAGTACTCGACGGCAAATGCCAACTAACCAAGCTTGATTAGTTGTGATTCTTGTCGCATCGGGGGATTAGCGACAGCACTTACCAAACCCGAGATATACCCGTAAGATGGAGTCTGATGTGCTTAATGGACAAGGGCTCCGACAGACAAAGAATGAGCTTTCCGCTCAGATGGGCACTGGCCGCTTCTTCCTCGCCTCCGCGAAATACGATATAATCTTCATCAAGACTGTTATGCGACAACAGGGTGGTTAGCCGTTGCACTCGGGTAAGGAAGCCGGGGTGCCGGAGTAAGTGCGAGAATGGCGTGACTCACCGGATATCAAAGTATTTCGCGTGACTGGAGCTGCCTCCGCCACCAAAGAAACTCAAAGCCATGACGTTATTGTGTCAAACCAACAGCTGCTTGTTTGCAGCTGCTAGTAGAATGGGGGGAGCCAAGAAGATATAAGGGCGTTCGATATGGTTGGAATGTGAAGGGGGAGGAATGGGTGGGCGGGAGGTTGATGTATTTAATCAAACTAAGAAAGGAGAAAACGTAAAAAAAAATTGGGAAAAAATGGAAAAAGAAAATTTTAAAAAGAAGGTGTCCAAGGAACCACGACAATGCGACGGAACTATGGCGCGAAAGGGAATAAAGCCTGCCACTGATCTGCTTAGGACTGTCCAGATTTGCAGACGAAGACCGGGTCGACAACGGGTCCCACTATGAGCAAGGAAGTTGGTGAAGTGGAGACTTCAAAAGCAGCCGTTTCCGTCACTTGCGTCTTTTGGGTCTTTTCGGAGAGACCTTTTTGGCCCCGGGAGTGGCAAGGCGGTCCTTGGGTAGGGAAAAACTTTCGATTAAGTCCTCCCGAAGATGATGCGATTACCAGCGGCGTTGACTAAGCCAGGCTGATGAATAACCTGATGCTCTAAAGATAGAACGATGACTCGACGACGTGACAGCGCTTTTGGAAAATAGAAGAAAAACGACGAGTTAGTATGGCAGAAGTCTTGAAAGGTTATGAAAGGGTAGTATCGGCATCGGCAGCGGAGACAGTGAGAATTTGAGAAGCGGGAAGTAGGCCGAAGGGGAATGTGGATGGATGGATGGCAGCTAGGCTTCCGACTAGACTGAATGTTTGGGAAAGTGTGTATGTGGGGGTGCGGTGGGATGATGTTTTATAAAGGGCTCAAAGGGTAGTAACAACGGAGTAAAATAAAGAAGGTGAGCCGGAGTGATGGGGGATTGAGAATGGAGAATCGGTGAACATGAGAAAGCAAGAGCAATCGAGACAGAGAGAGAGAGAGGCGAAAGCAAATGTTCAGCCTGAATAGTACGTTACATCACCAACATACCGGAGAAAAGACCGCGGGCGCAGGAACCAGGATGTCCACGGGAGTTCCCTTTCGTAAGGGAAACAAGGCTGGAGGGGTGACTGTCACGGTGTGCTTTTTCCCGCTAGGTTATTGATTTGATTTGGTTCAATAGTAGTAATCAGTAATCCCACTCGTTATCGTGACCCGTAATAATCACACGATAAGTGTGTGATTTGATTACTTCTGTTTCGGTTTTCCCCTCGTGGGAGTTGGTCACACAAAAGTGGGCTGCTGGCCAAGCCTGCAATGACAGACAGAGTAATGTAGAGTAGCTTATGGAGTAGAGGTAGTAAATGACTTTCTCTTTAGAAGATATACCAAGACTTTTATCCAAGACCCAGCCAAAAGGGCCCATCATCGTCTGGGATCGTCCGGTTTTATCTACACGGAAGCATTGCTCGTAAGATCGGCCCTAGGCCTTGGCGGCAGTCCGGTTACCCGGTGGCTATCACAAGGCAAATGACATTAAATTCACGGGCAGTAATGATAGTCGCCAAATGACGATCATCGAAGTAACATTAATTTATTATCCTTTTATTTATTTATTTTTATTTTTTTTTTATGATTATTATTCCACCACCCCCTCCTCCTCCTCCTCCGCCACCTCTTCCTGGCAAAAGCAGTTCAGTTGGCCTGCGCAATGCAATAGTGTGTGTGTGCATGCCTCGGGATCATCCTTCCCGCATGATTCTCGATCTAGTCTTCTTTCGGGGGGCAAATCGGGTTAGAGATTCCGCAGGAACAGCCGGTCCTGCTAAAATAGGATATCATCCCTTCCTTCAGCCCTTCTTCAGCTGTGCCCAGAAGAGACTAGGAGTGAGCAACAAAACCATGATGAATGGTCCCGAGAGGGCTCAGACGTTCCATTACCCCTCCCCCTCCTCCCCTGATGCCATCCAAGACGTGCGCGTCCATTCTGCAGGGTTGTCGCACAACAGCTTGCACTTCCAGCTGCAGGAGTTATGCAAGAGATCGTGACCAATTCACCCTAGTATTCGTCACTCCTGAATGCCCCACCAGATGATCTGCTTATCATGCTACTCTGAACCCTGCACCCTCTCTCTCCCCCTCTGCTCTGTTTAGCGTGTCATATGTTGTTGTAACATGGCTCCCCCCAATTCCACCCCCATCCCTCCCTTCCATTGTGGACACACACCACCACTCCGTACTTTCTGCAGAAATTTTGCCCTACGGTGGGTGGCATGACATTCTCAGTATCAAGCCATGTGCGGCCCGACACTGATAAGAAACACGGTAAGAAGCGTAACGCCAGTGGTTAAGAAGATCGCAAAAAGAGGCAGTGCGCCCCTCTTGCGTACAACCCTTTCCTGGCCATAACGCAACATGGCACGGTACCTTAGTAGTCTAGAATCCTACATAGTGCATGCATCTTTAACGCCAGCTCCAGCCCAAGATTTAAGTCGAGCTTCGCAAGCCAATGCCTGAAAGTGGAGAGAGACGCATCCATTCTAATCTCCTCCGGCAGGACCATTGGCTTCCGACCGCAACTCCACCACGGCTATCCTGGACAGTCAAGTTAGCCCACGCTACCGGGCGATACCACCAATGAGATATACAAACTCTTTCGGTCATCTAGGACAGGGGGGTGGGAGAGATATGAAACTCTTGATATGGATATCGCAATCGCGTAATAATCCATGAAGAGGGAACTGCCAAATCAAAGGGCCCCATATTGGATCCGAATCTTAGCGTTACATTCATTAACCTGACGTGGACGCGAGACACGCAAAGCAACGACGCTTCATAGCTCTTTGCGGGAACCATCCTACTTGTAGAAGGTGCTCTGCAGCGCCGCTCTCTGCAGAAAACAAGGCCCTTGCCCATGACTGATTTTACTCCCTGTTCGGTGTAGCTACCGCTGACGATGATCTACGAAGCTTTGTCGTCCTCAGACCTGAAGAGCGCAAAACTGATGTACGTACCCCATGCGGAGTGCTGCGGTGCATAGCATCAACTGCAGAACACGCATGGCTCTCGGACATAGCCGTCGGCGAGCCGACGATAATAGCCACATGTAGTAGGAGTAAGGATGCACCGACCGGGGTTGGCAACGAGGGTTTGCTGGCCGACACGAGAGAACTTCCAAGCGAGCTGAATGATTCCATGTGAAACCGCGTCTATAAGGCTTCTAGAATTAGCAATACTAGTAGCAATAAGATCTCCATTGGTACCTGACCTTAAGTTCTCAGTGACCCTTCACACTAAGGTTACTTTGTTCATAAGCCACCCGCTTATCCTTCGGGACATACACCGCCGTCGGGTACTTCCGGGGGGCCATCCAACATGTGATCGGAGAGAGTCGCATAACTCCGATACTCGCCACTACCGCGACCCGGCTCTTAGCGGCATCACCACGATTACGAGTCCTGCCAACCGCAAACGTCGATGTCGGGGGGAAAAAGGAAAACTCTGGGTGGATTGACAAGGACATTGTTACCCGTAACTAATCACGGCGGTCGTAGCGGAAAATTTTACCAAGTTTTCTTGCCGTAATGGTGACGCCCTCCAAAGGGAAGGGAACTTTCGGGCCGCAACTTCCCCAGTAGCCTAGACACACCGCTAAGGTCTCTTGACGCAAACCATGATTTCACGAAGAGCGCTCGAGACCTAGGTGCACGCGTCCTATCGCGAGGGCGATCATGGATAGCCAAAAAGAATGTGAGACCCACTGTATCGTTGTCACTCCCCATGAGCAACTGACGGACGACTCAACCGTATCGACACTTCAGGGATAGAGTCGGTGAGTCAGGGTTCCAGAACAAATTTTCAGATGGGTATGATGTGCAGAACTAACCTGTGATCACATCATCCAGGCCAGCAAAGTCAATAATGTGGGCCAAGATAGGGAGCTGGGCCCACTCTCAGATTTGGGGCTCGACTGTCAAAAATTCAAAGTACGGCGTCGAAGCCCGCCATTGCAGGTTGTGCTGGGCTGTTCTAACCCCCTTCCCACCACCCAGCCTTCTGTAGGCAGCCTCCATGATGATCCCTGCTGGCTGGATCCATCGAACAACTCTGGTGATGGCTAATCGCACCAAAGCTTCTCCAACGGTGACGCAGCTCGATCACAGGCTCATCAGCGGGAGCACGCAGACCCCGAAAACAAGACCAATGATGTTTGATAACGGCATTTGAGTGATAGAATTCCAAGATTGATGCTGCAAGCGGCCGCCAACGTGCAGCCAGCCATGTTTCACCATCTCTAGGCTGATACGGAAGCTAAGATTAGGTACGGATTGCCGTGGTCCGTAGGTCTTGAAATTTCCCTTCGGCTTGCCGAAAGTACTTTGGTCTAAGGCGTTTAGCTCCGTCATACGAACCGCTGCCCCGTTATTTAGCACAAGGTTGGCGAATCACAGGTGGCAAGACAATCAATGACTGCCTTGGGGGCGTTGATTGTCGTGGCAAGTTAGTGAGACAGATTCGTAAACAGTATCAGGACACCCTGAAGAAACAATTGGTACAGCGTAGCGCGGAAATGCCTCAAATGAAAAGCCTTGTTCTTCCAGATCCTGAGGCCTTACGTGATCATTGGCCGGTCGGATAACAGCCACAAGCCAGTCAAGGGCCCTGATTCCCGACCGTTGGTCTCGAGCGATGAACCAATGGATGACATCCATGGGCTGAACCAGGGACGGGCACGGACTCACTGCGTTGTCAGTCCACGGCCAGTGGGAATCTATTTCCCGCTCCTTGACCACGGTTTCTCAGGGCTGCTACGGAGTACGTCGGGTATCCTTTCTAGCATCTGCAAACGCGGGTAGAAGAGGGGTAATTGAAATGAGGATGAACGACAAAATCAGGAGAGAATTGAGTGCAAAGTAGAAGTAAAGCAACTCATTGTGAATATCTCCGAGGCGGAAGTTGCCGCTGGTCCCACTGATGAATGCCTGGACGGACATGAGATCCCAATGCAGCAAAAGCTTGACGGTGCAGATATTAGACGATGCAAAGTAGAGGCCCAAGGGGTTTAGAGCATCGGGGGTCGGTAAAAGACGAAGGAGTGTACACCGGATGCTGGATGAGGGATAATAGTTTTCGCGCCAATTCGCTGATGATCGTGCCTTCTGTTTCTGGTGGACGGAGAATTTCCCTCCAGTGTTGCGAGTTTGCGACCCAACGGGCGGCGGTCCTGAGCGGCACGTGGCCCGAACCGAGTCCCATTCGTGTAGTAAATTTCCCTATTTACCCGAGTTATGCGATCGCAGGAATCGCAGGAACAGCAGGAACAGTAGCGCTACTGTCTTTGCCCACCCTCTCTCTCTCTCTCTCTCTCTCCTTCTTCCTTCCTTGTCCGATGTGATTCGATACGAGCAATCATCATCTTATCTGCCACCACTGACTAGACTACTTAGTACTTAGCTAGTTATTGCTGGCCCTACAGCAATTTGATCGGGTCATACCTGACACTAAGGGACTTGCATTTCTCCCCCCTGGAAAATAGCTCGTCCCTCTCCGTGGCAGCCACCCATGCATCGGCAGATGCTTTTGCAATTGGCCGGCTGTCTGCTCGGGATCTCCATTCTAAACACTTTGGCATGATGGTCTCGACCTTCACTGCCACTTAGATAATCTCTTTGCTACTTGACTAGTTATCTTTCGTACTTTGTCTGTACACCCTAACAAATATTACCAAACTCAGTCGTTACTGGTGCATTGAAAGGGTGAACAAAGAAAAGAAGGATGGTTACACAGTATCAACAATCTTTGAAAACTGAGCTCAACAACATCCCAGCAAACACTTGTGCGACTATGCGCTGAGGTTCAATCGATTGACTCGGTCCGTGACACTTTGTGTCCGTGACGTATCAACATGATCGTCAGCACTGCCCCTTGCTGTCGCTATGGCCTGAGCTCGTTGCCACGTTAATTCGGCATCACTCTCAGGTCTTTTGCCGAACTCTTACCCGATATGCACTCGCCATAGAGACTAAATGATGAGATTCCCATCTAATCACGGTTCTCTTGATCTGTAAGATGAGAGTCTGCACTTCATCCGGCGACTTCCTGAACAAGTATATTTGATCTGCCCAGCGCCTCATACTCGCATCTGACTCTTCAGATATGACGTTATCTCTATCTAGCTCTTGACTGGGCTATACTCTATAGGAACGATAAGTCCATGTACTGTAGCATCTAGAGCACTGCTCTCACACGCTGAATGCATGACGTGCTGCTACCGGAACGCACACATGACAACATCGCTCGCAGATAGACATTCAGGCACTCTGCCAGCTAATATCCTATAGGCCCGTTCTATCAAAATTGATCGGCTGATTTAACGATCGGGATCAGACCGTTACCCTATCATGATGAGAGCCCCGTTATTGCGACCGAAAGGTAAACGAAAACGTAACCCGTATCCGAATGGTGGAAGGGTCTCGTCCGTTCGATGACTAGACGTCTTACCGAGGGAATACAACTCTCTAGACCCAGAAAGCAACACACCCCTGCAGGTACCACCATCCAGCTGGTGAACAAACGCAGCTAATGGTCAGTATATCGCGCAAACCGAGATTTGACACTTGGATAGAATGGCAATCGATTATGTCGTCATGAAAGTTCGTGAATGAACAGCCCTGTAAGGGTCTAGAAGCAAGAGATCATGTTGTGGAACCGTTATCTATTCGTGAAACGAGGCTGTGGATGTGACGCGACATCGGTGGCGTTCATCCCTATCACGAAAGCTTATCCATGTCTCTCATTCATTACTGCCTAGCTATATCTACAGAATTTCCGGTTTTTGCTTCAGACGAATCATATCCTACGGAGACAGGGAGCTTATCGTCGTGTGGTATCATTGAGAACCAGACGGGTAAGGTATACGTGCTGTATTCCATCGACCATCAGCATCTTGAAAACTATCAACACTGTATAAGAAACCCTATTGTTCTTACAAAACGTCAAAAAATATACAAATCAGAAATAATACTATTTCAAAAGGTATCGGGTATTGAAACCCCTGGTAATTCATAAATCGCTCACCCCATATACATGATGCCTTAATTCCACTTTCCCTGACGAAATTGGCGATTGCTTTGGAATAACTTTGGCAACTCCATCAATCTCGCATATATTAAAAATCAAGTAACATTTGGCTATGGGAAAAGACGATTAATTAAAAACGCAGTATATTCCTCGCTATGCTGGATATATAGGGCGATAAAATATAACATTGATTCTTTTAACGTTGAAAAAACAAAGGAAAATAAGGAAAAGGAAATGGAAACAAAAAGGAAGCCCTATTCTTCAATCATCAACTTGTCATCTGCCTCTGCCTTTTCAGCTAAAATCGAGGCCTCCAAGGCCGTGACTTTACCTTTCTTTCTCTTCAGCTCCTCCTCCTTCTTGATATTGACATACCGTTGGGGACAGTGCTCCTCAGTGTCCAGCTGATACTTTCTCAAGGGAAGTGCGTATACAAATGATACACCATAATACTATCCGCTGTTTAGCCGTAATATCAAGCAGAAGACGGTATTGGATGACATTGTGATGGTGGTTAACTAGTCTCTTTGACGGCTGGTTCGACGTCAATCTCGCCGTCTAGCTCAATCTCGTCGTTAATATCTTCGACGACTGGTTCGATGACTGGCTTGTCTGCGGGGTAGTTGATGAGGTCCGAGAATGCGTCTTCGAGCGTCCCGTGCATGGTAGCGAAGTTGTTGATTAAGATAGTAGGGTCCGGTGACGAGGGCCAACCTGGTAGGGCGGCTTGTCTGGTAGTGGCATTAATCGCCGTAAAGCCTGTGGTAGAGCGTCTGGCGGCATGTTGGATGAGTGGACTATTATTCTTGCTTGACAGACGGGACGGTGCAGTAGACGGAAGTATTGGGCTAAGGTCATGAGACAGAAAACCATCAGTGCCAACTGATTGACAAGCCATAGGGCGAGTAGACGTGGTAAGAGGGCGAAGCGGTTTATCTTCATTCAATTTGTTAGTATTATTGTCAGTGTCAATTAATCGATGAGCCGTAGAATAAATAGACATGGTAAGGAGGCAACATAGTTCATCTTCATTCAATTCATTAGCATAGTCGTCAGTGTCAATTGATCGATGAGCTGTAGGGCGAGTAGACATAGTAAGGAGATAATACGGTTCGTCTTCGTTCGATTTGTTAGTGTTGTCAGCAGTATCATTCTCGTCATCTCTGTCTGTAGCATCATGGTTGAAGGCCGGTATACCATCCCGAAGCGGAAACTCCAACTCGGCATTAATTTTCATGATCCTTGACTTCGCTTTGTGAATCTTGAATGGTAATACAGTCGCTATCGGTCCCTCGCGTTACATGTGGTTGGAGGAACGTAGAGGATGGTTGTTGTATGTAGTCCTCATGTATCAGTAAGAGCGGTTCTGGACATCCTCTCTAGTACTCTTTATGGCGTCCGTAAGCGTCTCTTTGTCAACTGTTCCTAATTATCAGAGGAGGTTGAATTCCCATTGAACTTATCTACAGTGAAAGCTGCCCATCAAGTCCTCCGCACGGGTCTGTATGTCAAGTAAACGCGTAAGATAAGTAACAAAGCTTTTCTTCGCGATCTGCCACGAGCGCAACGATATATTGTTTATTTTGGAGGTAATCAAGGAGAGAAGATGCGTTTGTCGGAGAGAAATAAATATAGGAATCAAACCACCTAAGGAGCTCCAGCCTGCTGTCTACAAGCTCTAATGTCCAGAAAATGGGGGTTTCAAATGAATCATAACCCAGGCCATAGTATCATTAAGGTCGTGTTTGAAATGGTTAACGTCGGTAAAATATAACAACTCTAACCCTTTCTCGAAAGAAGTAGTATGCTAGCTGAGATTGACCAGCAGGACTTTCTCCGGTCATATCTGCCCGCGCCCTCATCTCTTGGGGGCGGGATCACCATATAGCATCCACTCGTCGGACACCAGCAGCACCATTCAGCGCTTGCAATCTGACTACATTTCATTGCGTTGCTAGAATATCCATACATGGTAGAGGATGGGAGTAATGAGTTAGGGCCCAGAGATGCTTGTGCCTCTGCATCTTAGGCAGTGTCACCAAGACTGGCTCAATATCTTCATCAGAAGTAGTTTCAAGGTACAGCAAGCCTGGTTACTGAGAGTCCGTCGGCTACTTGCATGAGCTTGCCAGACACATGTACAACGTCCAAGTCGTATTTCTGGAGGCGATATTGCCAACGACATATTCTGCTTGATGTATTATCCGATTCACCCAACACCGACTTCAGAGCGGTATGATCCATGATTCCTGTTGTCCTGATTGAAGACAAGCAATGGGCGTGGTTCCATCGCGAGCTTTGGTTTCAACCCAGTCAACATCTCTGTGCATTTGTAGCCACATTAACATATCAAACCAATGATTGCATTATAGCCCTAACCACTGTCTATCATTTACATTCTGACATTGAAGGAAGTAAGATCAACTTCCGATATCGATCTATCCTGTGTCATGCACTATTTGTGCTGAATTGACGACTGTCCAACCGGAAATCTGCAAAAACTCGGGCAACACCAGGCTTAGCATCCGATAATCTACATCATATCAACAAAGAGCGGCAGGTTGTGAGTCTGAGACATGGAGTATAGAACGATAGAGATACCCTATACCCTAAAGATTCCTTGTGGGTGGTATTTGTCAGCCATTTCCTGGAATATCGCCACATTGTGATTGTCTTAAGTATATGAGCTGTCTCTGTAGTAGTATTGTTTATGTCTTTCATTATAACACCGTTATCTGTGGCCTTGAGGGCGGTTGGAGAGTAGTATTCGAGATCTTCATGATACACGCTAGTTTGGTGACGCTGGTTAGTGGTTCTTCGTATCCGGCATAGACTATTGTAGAGTATACTATATACTAGTACTAAGATATGTATTATAACTTTTAGGCTGCTTCGTTGAAGATATAGAAGATTGTTGGGTGTATCCAGCCTAGATTGTCATAGAATATATAAAGTTTTCAGTATCATGTATCTCCAAAGCTTCTTGATCAGAATCTTAAGTAATAGCAGAGATTAAAGAAGAGAAAGAAAGAAGAGAAAGAAAGAAGAGAAAGAAAGAAGAGAAAGAAAGAAGAAGAAGAAGAAGAAGAAGAAGAAGAAGAAGCCAGGAACCAGTCTTGTTATATCCAACTACTAATCAGTGAAGCCAGAAGGGAACTACAAGAGATATTAAATTATCCTAATAATGAATTTCTAGATTCACTGAAATATTCAAGCTATAACCGATGTGAATAGGACTGCAGACTATTCTCTCCAGAAAAAATCATATGAAAGCTATCCAGATCTATGCGGATTCGTTCTATTCATCTGCCCACCCTATTCAATCACGAGAAATAAATCACAAGCTATGCAGCACATCACAACGCAAACCACCCGCCTCCCATTCCCATATAATAACATATAATAATATGACCTATAAGTAATTAAGAAAAATAAAATAAGTATGCAGGTAAGTGAGCAGAGAGGTAGATAAGAGAAATCAACTCGCCCGCGAGTCAATACTCCCCAGATAACAACTCCTACCCAACCACTTTACCCCCCATCCAGCCAGTAGACAATATAAAAGTATCATTATGACCACCAACCCACCACTCCAGTATCGACTCGAAATGGAATCGAATAGAATCAGAAAATCCACCCCAGGATAATCCAAATCGCCACCGCAACAGTCACCACGATACCAGCGACCTTCAACACCGCAACGGTATCACCCTGCCGCGCCATACGAGTTAAGCGACTTGCGCTACCTTTCAGATTCGTGGAGAGGGAGGAAAAGACTTGGTTCTAGACATATGATAAAAAACATATTGTTAGCTTTTTCATGCTCATCTATACCTATGCAGATGTAGTTTCTCCCATAGACGACATCCACATAAAAGAAGAACACAAATACAGTGGGAAAAAAAAGGATTCAACGAACCGAATGATCCAACGTATCCTGATCCCTCGCATTATCATAGATATCAATGGTAACGGATTTCAGCGCGGAGACCTTCGACGAGAGAGAGTTTAGCAGCGCATTATTTTGTCTATCCCCATATATTAGTTTTCTTTTCCCAAGCCAACAAAGTCCTTCCGTCCTTTTTGGGTAGGAATAGTCAAGGTAATGTGGGTAGGTTCTCGTACTGTTCACGTTCGAAGGCGTCGGCCATTTTGCTTCAGGTGTCGCTTCTCGGCACTCAAGACTCCGCTGATTCGTTTCTCGTTGATTGTTATGTGAAATATCTCGTTGTATCGGTTGCCGAGTTTGCTTCTTCGATACGGGCTGTGTTGAGTTCGTTCTCCTTTCGATGTTGGCAAATGGAAGTGATGGTCCCGTCCAGCCAGGTCGGGATGACGCTGTGGAGGCTGTGGGGAGATAGATGCATGTCACGTGATTTCTCGATGGCTGGCCGCGGGTCGAGTGAATCCTAGGCTATTTTAGTAATAGCTAGTTGGGACGGCTAAAATAGATACGGCGTGGATTAGGGGCTTGACAGAATCTGATTGAGGGGGAGGTTTGATTGTCTTTCTCTAGCGTACAGTTGACCACCATGAGGGTATTAAATTACACATTGGTTACGAGGATTGACTGAAATACTGGTGTCACAGAAACATGTGACCCATTTGGAGTGTTCAGACTTCTATAACAAGGCATCGTTGACGCCGGACAGAAAAACAATCGACTAACCCCACACGCTATGCGAACAAAGAAACCCAAGACGAGAAGCTATGTCAGGCCCTACCCTACCATCGTGGAATATTCAAAGGACCACTATATAAGTTGACACAACAAGTGTTCAAACGAGAATGGAGGAGCTTCAGTGGCTTCCTCTGTATACCCTTATATGCCCTGTGCATAGAAAAAAATGAAGAGTCCACCACCAGGGGAGCGAAAAGAATGCGAGGATGACACAAGAAGTAAAGGCTAATATCAGTGTACAGAGTGTGAGAACCGACCAGACTTGGCACTAGGGGTATTTAGTGCGCTGCAATAGAATCAACAGCAATAGAGGGAATCACTTGTCTGTTCCCTATTACCACATATCATCGTCATCATCGTCAAGCTGGACGTCGTCGCCAAATGTCGAGTGACCATACTGGTAATGTCCCGGGCCATATGCATTTCCATTCTCGTAGCCACCCTTGCTACTTTGCGAATGGGCGCCATAATGATCCTGTGCATCGTCCGTATATTCGTACATTTGAGGATCATCGTAGGAACTATCCGTATATTGTTGCTCCTGAGACTGCAGTTTCGACGAACAGTTAGAACCTTCAATGACAATAGAGCATCTTCGCGGAATACTCACCTCTTGATATCTTTGGTATTGTTGATACTCTTCTTGTTGCTTCTGCTGCTGCCTTTGCGCAGCGGAAGTAGCCAACATCATGTGCGGATGCATCTGCTGGACCTTCGCCAAGTAAGAGTACATGAAATTGCTGAGCAAGACCTGAGAGTACAGCGCGCGTCGAGGATTCGCAAGCTTGATGTGAGCCATCCGGTAGATCGCTCTTTCTTCTAGGATCGAGAAGCGGGTCCAAGCGTAATCAACATCCGGCCGCAGCTCACGCACAGGCGGATCAGGTGATAGGTTTCGAGAAGCACTTTTCTTGTGATGATGGCTGTGATGGCTACTGTCGCCACTGCTCTTCTTCCTACTTCCGCCGAATATGGAGGAGAACAACCCAGACTCCTTCTCTTTCTTTGACTCCCCAGAGGTCCGTCGCGCATTGTCCTTGCGACGCTCCTCTTCCAGTTTGGGATCCAGTCGATCCACTGCAACGTTTTCGCGGCCTCGCTGACTAGAATCACTTGAGGATGGCAGAGCGTGCGCTGTCTCATGAACTTTGTCCACTATCTTGGCCTTGAGTTTCTTCGAGTCACTGTCCTTGTCCTTTTTCTTCTCTTTATCTTTATCCTCGGAACCCAGCAGCCAGTGCCAGCTGGATTTGCGGCCACCCTCCGAATCTTTCTTATCTTTTGACTTCTTCGACTCTTTTGTTTCCTTCTCCTTCTCCTTCGACTCAGCCTTGCGATCCTCGAAAGTTGGGATGTAGGACAGGCTGTCCGTTCGGGTGGTGTTTCCAGGAAGGGGCTGTGGGGTATTGGCGAAGTCATTAAAGGTGGGTGTGGTCTCCTTCTGAGTGCGACTATGTGCCGACCGCTTACTTGAGCTTCGTTCCTGCATTCTATCTTGGCCTGCAGGTGCTTTCGGGGACGCATGTGACTGTGAGGTCGGCGTTGAAGGCGTGGTG